CCAAATCAATAGATCGGAAGAAAAGATATATTACAGGTCTAACTGAAAAATATTTCCCAATAAATTTAACTTAATAGTTTATGGAATTGTAAGTTGGTTATGTTCTGGAAACCAATATCCTATAAAATTTGAGGAGATCTTCCGCCTGGACGGAGAGACGCCATCACACAAAAGCATCGGGCAGGATCACAGGAGAAGCGAACGAAAGATGGACGGCGATGGGAAGAGAAGGAGAGAAGGGGGTGAAGGGGAAGGCAGAGGAAGGGAGGGCATGTGAAGAGGAGGTAGTGAGAGTGGAAGGAGACGAGAGGACAGGGGTTGCAGGAGGATGAAAATACGAGTGAACGAAGGTTGACTTCCTTGACCAAGGGGCGCTCTTGAAAGAGGAGGAAGCAGAGGAATGGAATGTCAAGTTTTCCAGTGAGGATAAATGATAGTGAATGAAACATATCAACGAGTGCCAGTAGAAGAGAACTACCACTTGAGGTGGGCAAGTACGTGCAAAAGGATAGGAGCGGAACCAGAGCAAGAAGACCTGCCTTTCCCACACAAGTGAATCATAACAATGCACTCAGGATTTATCGTCGTCAGAATGTCCTCAGATGGATCAAATAGCGATACAGGAGAGTGGCTGGTAGAAGAGAAGGTGGCTCTGAGGAGTGGCCGGGCAGCCAAAATCTACAGGTGCGACAGCTGTTGTTCCCCGACATCTATTCTCACTTGAACATTGCCACTGGGCACAAACTGACCTTGTAGTTCAGCACACACATCTGGAAGCACTTCAGATGGACAAAGAACGTCGTGGTAGCGTTGTATGGATCCCTCATCATGTTCCAGCAGGTCATTCTTTCCTCCTTGTGCCATGGCGGAGCTTTGAATGACGATGGCGGCAGGGACTGATCATGGTTGGAGTCTTCTCATACGTCACCCCGCGATGGATCAGCGTTCCTGTGCTGGGCGCGTATGCCCTTCACGTGTACTTTAGCCGAGCACGTATCACTGGTATCATGCACGTGACGCTCTTGAGGAGGACGGAGGTTTGATCTATCCCGCGTCAGGCAGTATGGAATGGACCTGGTTCCGAGGGCTGGACGTACATATCTTCGGCATGGAATACTACAACTACAGGATCCTGATCCCCGATGACCTGAAGCTGGACGACACCAAGTGATAACCGCAGCTCCTTGCGCTCTAGGGCATAGCTGATGGTGCTCGTACAGATACGTTATAGGGCAGCACCCGCACGGTATCTTCGCCCTTGGGCAGATTGCCTGGATGTTCACGAGCTACAAGAATCCACTTTACCGCCGCTTTCCCTTCCTGCGCAACAAGGTGAATCTGAACTGACAGAATGCGTATCGGTTGTTGAGGGAGGCGGCCGCAGGTGCATTCTACCGGAGCCTCAATCATCTACTTCATTCCGTTTGTGAGAGAACTTTTCATGATCTTTGGGCACATCGACGTCTCTCGATCTGCCTTGAAGCGAACCCTCAACAAGGGCTCTAGCGTGGGGATCGTTGTCGGGGGCGAGGTGCGTGCGAATCGCAGCGAGCATCTTGCAGCTGGGATGAAATGTCCTCCAGGCCGAAGTACTCCTTGCCAGAAACGATGAAGACACGGTTGTGCTCAAGGAGAGGAAAGGTATCGTTGTTTCTTGCCTGCAGCTGCGTGTTGAGAGTGGTTCCAGGGTTTGTCAAGCTTGCGCTGCAGAACGGGGCGGACTTGCTGCCCACATACTGCTTCCACAACACCAACGTGTTCCATATAAACACGTCTCTCCTCCGAGGTTACGATGGACCAGTGAATGCTCTAGCTTCTGACTTCCTCCTGCTAGGGTTTCGCAAGTGGCTGCAGAAGAACTTCAAATGCTCGATCCCTGTCTGCTGGGGATGGCGGGTGAAGTTCCCTTCTCTTCCTTATGCCTCTCCTCCTCCTCCTCCTCCTCCTCCTCCTCCTCCTCCTCCTCCTCCTCCTCCATTCTTGGCTGATAGCATTGGTGCAGGGAACGCCTCTTCCTCATCCCGTGCCGCTCTGCCTCGCCATCGGAGATCCCATAAAGGTGCCAAAGCCTTCGCCCGGACAGGAGATCACCGACAAGATGGTCGACGAGTACCACAAGAAGTACGTGCAAGGAGCTCTGACCATTTGACAGCTGACCTCTTCTCCTTGTCTCAGGTACATCGAAGCTCTCACGAAGCTCTTTGAGGAGTGCAAGGCTGCTGCCGGATACCCAGAGGATCGCATGCTTAACGTGAGTGTGAAACGTTTGACCGTTGCATGGCAAACGCCGACAGTGACAACTGGCAGGTGGTTGATGCTCACTACGTTCATCCTGAATGCATCAAGGCCAAACTGCTGTGAGCGCCGCTAGAGTGCGTGACCGTCACGGGGGCGCCTTCAAGCCCCTACCATGACCTGTCGGCGTAGTGAATGTCAGTGTGAAGTATTGAACTAAAAACAACTTGAACTTGGGCCCCGGGGCCGCGGAGTTCTTCGACGCGAGATGATCCGACGAGTAAAGGATCTGACGCCGCGCGCCGAGTCGGACAGTACAGCGATGCAAGGGCGCCGGCCAGTCCGATCGAGGCCGCAGTCCGACCGAGTCAGCCTCAGCCGTCACGGTGGGGACGTTCGGGGGCCCGGACTCAGGGCCGTCGAGTCCGCCCAGGCCGCCGATGATCAAGTCACGGTCAGTTCAGTTCTCGGAAGTTCGCGTCCGTCAGTTGGGGGAGGCTCGTCGGAACAACGAAGTGAGGTCAAGTTGATTTGCTGTCAAACGTTTGAGCACCCCAGGTAGTATAAAGTACCCTAGTTGACAGTCTTGTTGGTCCTGATATATAGGGTGGGGGGTTGGCTATGTGACTTGGAGTGGGGGTGGTACCAAGTTTGATGTTCGGCAAGCTGGACGATGGGAGGAGGGTGGGTAGCGGAAAGGTGGGAGTGAGAGGAGAGGAGGAAGAGGAAGGAGAGATCGACGAGTGGGGCAAGATAGAGATCTGAACATCAAGGTCAGAACGTTGAACAAGAGACGGTCGGCAGAACCCCAAAACGTATTCATTTCAAATCAGAACAAGGAGCAAACGAAGGACAGGGTCAGGATTTCAAGGTGTATGGGAAAGGTTAAGGGAGCCTGGAGGAGACAAGGTGAACAGCGTCAAAAAGGAAAACTGTAGAGGAAGAGTAGGATTGCCATGACGTGTTTTCACTCGATTGATTTCTGTTTCAAAGGTAGTGGGAATGGATGAAGATCACCAACCCCCCTTCCGTGCAACAAGACGGTATCACTCAACGCAAGAAGTTTGATGAAAGGCTCCACTGTCCATGTAATTGAAATTTAACTTGACTGAACGAACGAAATGAGAAAAAAAAGTACCATCAGTGTGATATTGAGCTTGAGAGTGAAGCTTACAGAGAAAGAAGTCTACCTTGCGCAGAAGTTGTTGCTCAGGTGGATACGCATCTTGCATTTCAGGTGTGTTGAGTTGAAAATGACATCGTCTTCCTGTGCTATGCGTAACACCTTGATGTCAGGAGCAGAGAGGCTGTGTTCAAAAGTTTGTTTCTTCGCATGTCTGCAAATGTTTTACGTCAAACGTTGAGAAACTGGTACGACCGAGCCGTGTCTGGGTCGCAGAATAGCAAGTGGTCTCCCGACGACCTTTTGATCTCCTCAAGATATTCGAAGGCATCTCATGTGAAGAAGAAGTCGATGATGAAGAAATCCGTGGGGTACGGCGAAATGCCAAGTCTACACGACTTGATAGAAAGGTACGACTTTTGGGTGAAGCACTTGGTCAGAATGAAGAACATCGTAGCGCAAAAATCTGATTTCTGGGCGTTGGCCTGGGACGTGGATGAAACGGAGGAACAGTTGGATGCGATAAATTTCATCAAGGCTTTCTGTCGGATGCAATTGATCAGGCGGAAACTGATAAGCTACAGAGAATCTTTGATGACACTCGAGATCTTCTTCCTGCGCAGTTGCATCAATCGAAAATTTGTCGGTGAGCAGACTAGAATGCTGAAGAATGCAGCAACTCTCATACAGAAACGGATTCGGGGGATTCTCGGAAGGCAGAAAGCCGAAGAGTTGGGAATGAAGATGAGAGCCATGCTGGACTCGATCCTCCTGAAGAAGGAGTCCATGGCGATCGGTCAGAAGGTCATAATCTCTCCGCACTTGTTCTACCCTTGTCACAAGCTCAACAAGAGCAAGGGGAAGATTATGAGGAAAGAATTCAGACAGGGAACCATTGTCAAGATCCTAGGAGACAGATGCCGGATCTTCTTCGACCACGTCATTTCTGAGATCAAGTTTGGCGAATACAAGTACTCGCATCTTCTCTTGTTGAAGGACATCCCGAGGCTACAGGATGATCCACGGGCAGAGGTCTTAAGCCCAAGGCTCCTCGTTGCTGAGATCGTCAACGGGATCGTTGAGAATGCTTGCCGCGAAATCGGTTACAGCCGTAGAGGACGCTACACCTACAGGCCTCGCAAGAAAGCTGACGTCAGCTCCCTGAGACCCACCAGCTGGTACGGTAGCAACCGATCTTCGCAGCCACACGCAGACGGCTTCAAGACTCCCTACATGACGAGGAGGGAGACGAACGGGCGAGTGCTAAGTTCGCAGAGCCGCTCGCTCCCCCTTCCCCTGCTCTCTCGCAGAGACTCCTTGTTTCTGAGCAGCAGAAGCGCAACCCTGCACCCTTCGCCCCGTGTGAGAGAGGAGACAACGGTTCTGAGGTATTCAAACCATTTACAACAGAGATATTAATGTAATAAATCTTTAACAGCAGCCGCCCATTCACATTGTCTATATCCTTCACTTGCACTATAAAGTTTTGAGTAGATGGTTGCCATCGACCCCCCTCCATCAGAGTGGCTTCCTCGCTCCCGATAGAGACAGAATCATGTCCTCTGGCTTCCTCCCTCCAGTCCAGATAGAGATAGAACCATTTCCTGTGGTACTTCTGTCCTTTACATATTGTGGATGCTCTCAAGTCTGTCCAACACAAGGTTTGCCTCAGACGTGAATAGGAGCCCGAGATACTGAGTTGAATCAACGTCATCGTAGTTTACATGCCGTCCGATCTGACGGAGGTTGGGAGTCGAACGGCTTCTATGGTATTGATCATCGCTTGTAAGGTTGGGTAATGTCGAATAGCTGTGCGATTTCAACTTCGCAAACAAGTCCTCGTGAGAATCGAAACACATGTCATCGTCAGGCTTCATTTCATGGTCTTCGGCAATGCTTATATCCAGGCTGATTTCCACCTGCTCTTTTGCTACAGATTGTACGGATTGTTCCCTTGTGATCGACTTCACTGAGGCATAGTCTGTGCTCAAATCCATGCTCCTGTCACTGCACGAGTAAAACCATTCTTTTGCCTTCTGGTCACCACATTGCAACTTGAGCTCCTCAAACAGGTATAGGTCGGCAACACTTACTTTCGAAGGAGTTCTGTTGCACTTTGCGGCTAAGTGATCTAACTGGCAATCCAATTTTGAGCCACACATCATGCCTCGTACTTCAACTATTTTTGGATTAGATTGTCTTCAAAGGTGAACAATCTCAACAAGTCATCGCATCAGCGACATCACAAACAACGCATGACGCATTTCAGAAAGGCATCATGCGTTCACCACCAGTCCTAGAGTAGTTCCCTTGCGCACCCTTCAGCCTCTTCTTGCTTGCCCTTGAATCCAGTACTCCCCTGCTCCTGTCCCTCGCATCTTTAAACCTTGTGTCTCCCACGTGACTTGAGCTAGTCACGAAGCTGATCATGATCCTTGAGGTGGGGGTCCTTTTGCCCTTTCACCCCTATTTAGATAGACAAACGTTGGGGTGACAGTAGTACCCCCACCATACTCTCTGTTTAACTGGCAAGCAAGGTGCTCCAGGGGCTCGTGACCCCTGAGCAGTAAAAAACATGGGTAGCGGGAGGGGTGACGAAAGGTCGTGTATTTTCTAGCCGATTCTCTAATAACATTGTATATGGTATTGCAGCCGAAAAGACGCACTTTGCCTTCTCATTGCAAAAATCACTGGACCCGTATTTTTACCTTACTTGTACCGGTATCGAATGGGTCGCTGCGAAAAACCTTTTGGCTAAAATTATGTATGAAGAAGTCAGGAGCTGTAGTAAAAGAGACAAGGTGAGGGAAACAGTAAGGCAGTCAGCGAGGAAGCAGGAAGGGCTTGGAGGTTGAATCGACGATAGCAAGCTGAAGGTCTGGACAGAGCTTGAGAGATTTGATTGACCTTCAGAACTCGGAGCAAGTGGTACGTCATTCATTGCGTGCAAAGCACCGACGTCTGTTGTCAACGGACAACATCGTACAAAGACGATGGAGAGAACACCGCGCACAAAGCAGGACAAGTCAAGTGTAGCTGCTCTATACCTTTATGAAGAGCTTCGATTAGCTTGTGGTGAACAGACGGCGAAGCTCTGGCTCCACAGCCCTGAACGCGTCAGTCTCTATGAGAGACGAGATCAATGCCGAAGGGTTGAGCTTGACGTTTGTCCTCCTTCCCCTCGTTCCTCCCGATTGGAAGACAACGCCATCTACAGGTCTTTACTCTTGGAAGAGATGCCGAGAGATGATCAACACGAGGACGATCTTCTTAGCGCCAAGGAGATCCAGAGGATGCAAATGGAGGGGGCAGAAGATCCTCACCTTCTTGGGCTGCTGTTCACCGCAGATGCAAACTTGGTGCTCGACAGGCTGCAGAGCTCATCGGAAGCGGCCTCGAGTGCACGCAGCTCTTAGTTGATAATTGTGCTTGTCGTTAATCCATCAAGAATCCTTTTAAGTAAAATCAACCTTCTCGTTAGAACTTCCGCAGTAGTGTTCGGCAAAGATGCCTGGGCCCTCTGGCCAAACGTCCGTTGGCTTCAGCTGCAGTCACAAGCAAAGGGAGTTAGATATATTGATACAGAATGCACGCAAAGCTCTCACATGTACTTCTCGACGGCATGGTGACGATTTCCGCATCTGCCATCGAAATCCGATCGCCTGACAGGAACAAAAGTCAGCTTTGCCTTGATGGCTTGTCAAGACAACATCCAGCTGTCGCTTTCTTGTGTGCTGCAGCCTCCTCTGCTTGTGCTTCACTCGCAAGGAAATCACCCACGAGCCGAGCCGTCCGATGTTGCCCTGGTGGAGAGAGAGAAACAAACAAGGGAAAATGGTCCTGTCAGGCTTGGCAGGAGGGTTTGAGGTATACGAACCTCATATTTCCTCGGCACGTCGCACGTACCATGATGCATACGGTACAGGCAAAGTTCACGGAACCGAGCTTCCCACTCGAACTCTTTGTTCCTTTTCTGCCACAGTTTGTCCGCCCCCCGAACCTGTTATTGAAGCGCCAGTTCACACCCCAAGGGAACAATTGAAAGTTAGAAAACCTGCCACATGAAATCCGCTTCATCCAGACGCCGTTTCCTGTTGTCGTTTGAGAAGTGCTCGTCGAATTCCCTACCATCCCCAACTCATCACCTGCTTGAGGAAAGGAGTCCCTTCCGCTGCAAGATTCGCTTCGTGAGGCGTCAGGCAGTGAAGGTCGGCAGCAGAGGCTTTCACCTGGTTGAACACCCAACACCCTAACCGCCGCAGCTTCCCCTTGTAGGGCACGTTGCCTGTTTGCAAAGGTTGTTTAGATCTCTCCCCTCTCCTCCATGCTCTTACAATGCCCGAATCTCGCTTTGAACTTGAGCAACTCCTCATATTGTTTTTCCCAAATAAAAGTCTAGCATTGGAGTAGTGTCAAGGGTTAGCAAGACCAGGGATTGCAACCTGAGTATTCCATTGAAACCCTATTCCACACATCATTTGGATCTTCAGCTCTGAGAGCCTGGACACTTGCGTCAAACCGCAAATCATCGCACATGCAGAAAGAGCGCTTCTCATCCATACCTCTTCTGTCTCTGCATCGCACGCTGATTTGCCGACCAGTTTCTGAGTTGTGAGCAGATACAGCTTGACTTCTCTGTGGGACGAGAGACAGAATCTGATGGGCTGCCTTCCGAAGGAGATGATTCTGATGAGGTACCAAGTTATACATGCACACATGTACGCCATACACATGGGCTGCAAGGATGAAGAACAAACTGACTGAGGCCCTTAAATAGTCCACACTGCAGAATTTACCGCTTCCTGATCTCGAAACTTCGAACATAGCATTCCCCTCCTGCCGAAACGAGCCTTTCTCAGCAGTCCCCTCTCGACACCACCACCATGACACACCTTCCAAGTCATGCACCCAAGACTGCAGCCCTTCTGCACGTGGACATGTCCATGATGCTGTCGATGCAGCAGCAGGTGGGAGTATCCTCGGGACCAGCAGACCTCGCTGTCTCTGCTGGTTGAATTGCTCTTCTTGGCTGGTCTTTCAAATATTTCTGTCCTGTTGCCCAAAAAGTCTTAAGATGGAAACCGAAGTTGAAACAAGGAGCACAACACAGCTAAAAGATAGTACTGTTATCAGAAGTATGTACCTGTTTTGGCTTAACACATTCCCATCAGGCTGAGAGTTGACCAACTTTAACATCTGCGAAGTGACAACATTCTTGCCCATCTTTGCCTTCTTACACGTTGTTGAGGATGGGATCGCTTGCTCTTTGCAGCCCTTCGTCATTTTCTTTGTAGCAGGAGTTGACAGGACATTCTTTTGACTCCGTTGACCATGGGTCTTCATCGCATCGTCGCAGACGGTTGATTCCGGGAAACTCAACCCCGATGGCTCGGAGCTGTGAGAAACTTGCTTCACATCGCAGCGACTCCCATCTGAAGCTAGCACACCACTCAGCAAATCTTGTTTCTGGCTCCCGATTTCCATGATGAAGCATCGATCGCGGAGATGCTGGAGCTTCCCACCCATAACTGACGAATGAGGTGATCGGTAGGTGCTGCTCTTGCAGGGTGGCCCTTGCATAATCGGGCCGGCTGTTGACCCCCCTCGGAGCAAGTTCCTCTTTACCATCATCTGAGCTACCCTGTTCTCCACTTCTTCTGGCTTAGAGTAGCGTACCGGGTCCCTCTCGACCAGGATGAACGGAGAGGTACCCAACCTAGTTGCTTTTGCTCGAAATGCCTCTGATCGGCCGACATCCTCATAGAGCCAGTTGAGGCTGTCAGGCAGAGCATGTTGCCAGTTGGTAACGCTGATCAGGAGGACCAGCAACCTGGTCGTCATGCTCTGTCCTCTCGTCCTCACCACCGCTCCCCTCATCTCCATTCCACCATGACGGTGGCCCCCTCCGCTCTGAGGCAGGTTTCTTTCAGTACACGTTGCCGTACAGGGCAGGCCCGGGCCGGCCCGAGTTGCCTGGCACTGTCAACCAAGGGCCCGGTGTGTGAACTTTACCCAAAGTTAAGTTAAAAATCAGACGGTACGAGGGAGTCACTACGGCAAGTATATTTACTCAAAGTTAAGTCAGATCAGGTATTGAGAAAATCAGATAACTAAAAGCTCAGTTATGTTAGACCGTACCAGAGAATTGAGCGAAAGTTTGAGGGCCTCGAGCCGCTGCCTTGACCAAAAAACTCCGGCCACTGGGCCACCCCCAGGTACCCCCGGCCGGCGGGGCCCTACTCCTTCAGTTGACTGGGTAGCGGAACTTGACTTTACTCAAAGTTAAGTTAAAAATCAGAGCTTATACCTTCCAAAGTATCACTCAAGGCGGCAAGTACATTTTGTGCTACCACCCCTCCCGACCCCACCCAACCCCCGGAGAAGCCCGCGGGTCAAATAGGAACCAGGCTTCTCATCGCTAGGGAGAGGAACCCCTCCTTTCGAAGGCAAACACGCCGGTGGTGGATGCCCTTTTCGTCACCACCAGAGGTAGTCCGGTGGTCATTTGTTGCGTTGGACTACCCCTGTTTTCACTTTCAATTGTGGTCTTAAGTACCCCTCAGATATCACCCTACCCACCTGTGTTCCTGCACAGGCCTGGTCTGACCGACTAGAGAACACATCGGAAAGGAAAAAAACTGATAAAAAACAGTACCCCACCTCAAACTTGAAATGCTCAGTACAGTACCCACCCCTCTGATAGATGTTGAAGTATGTACTACCCTACTCCAAGATACCGTCCCCGCTGTAGTTATCCTGTACCCCTATATTCCTATCTTTTCCAGGGGAGGTGGTTGGGGAATCTTCTCGGGGAATGGAAGTCACCCTACCCCCTGCAGTAGCTCAATTTTGATCAACCGACCCAACCCCACCCACTATCTCCACCCACCCCCTTTGATCCCCACTGGCCGTAGACCTCAGCCAGTAGTGAGCCAATTTTCATTAATTATCCTTCCTCCACACCACCCCTTCCCCTCTAGCCCACTACCTATCCTACCCTAGCTAAGTGACTACCACCACCCCTTAGTCACAGTACCCCTCTTTCCAATAACAGCCATCACCTTCTCAAGGTTTCTCTCGGTACTCCCGTGCCTCCTTCAACTTTTCACCACCCCTCCCCTCGACTCCCTCACGACTCAAGACGGGTCACCCCGTCTCCTCCACACTATATGACTTTCCTGTACCCCTTCCCACCTATTGACTACCCTATCCACCGACTACCCCCTCTCACTATGACCCACCCTACAATGTACCCAGATTTTAGTGAGCAGCTCGCCTCAGAGTTGACCCGACGCCACCCATGTCCATGCCAACCGACGGCATGCACCGTCTCTAATCTCTGCTTCCTGCCTCGCTGAGACCTCCTCCTCCTTCTCCTCATTCTCTCTCCTTCCTCCTCATCCTGCTCGCCACGCCTTATCTTCTCTCATCTTCTCCGCTGCATCTCACCAGAAACAATCTCCCCCATTCCTCCTCCTTGAGATAAGGTCTTCTCACTTTGGTGGGGTTTGATACACCTCCTGGTTTAGGCCATCCTCCCTTGCCTTCTACCTCGAACAAACAGGCGCTATCCTACTGAATTCTACATCCTGTACTTCAACGCTGGAAATCCCTGATGCCAGCATTTTACCTCAATACACAACGTCTTTCAAGTGTGAACCCCAATTCATCGTGAAACCATAACAAATGTCAGGTGACATCTCTGCGCTCCTTGTCGAAGTCAACCTGACAAGTATGCAGAGGGGCAAGTACACCCTGACGACTTTGAAGCACCCAGCGAGTCCATTCCGTCAAGGCAGGATACCATCCTGTCCACGGAATCCGAAGAGCAGTTTGCATGTTACTCAAAAGCAGTGCCAAATGGGCATTTCAGTGCAGATTTTCAGAGAAGTGCATCTCAAGCTTCAAGGACAAGTATCAGGTGAACATGTCCCGGCGGAGGTTTGTGAGTTGCTGACTGAAACGATTCAGATCTGGATTCACAACGTCTTCTCGGAAATCAGCTTCTGTCGCCCTTTCCGAGCGCCGAGAGATGAAACGGAAGCAAGAGGCATCTAGAGCATGGCCAGATCCCCGCAAATACTCCCCGAGGTAGTCAAATGTGGGTGAACCCTCTATTGAGATGATTTTATCTCCCAGATCATTACGATTGTTCAGCCTGCAAAACCCACTCAGGAAGCTGTGTATCCGTGGGATAGAGTGGAAGTGGTGGGATCGGATCGTGTTGTTTGTCATCGCTCTCAACACCGTCCAGCTAGCCATGATTGACCCTTTTGACGTACTCTCGTTGAGCTGCTGGACCTGGAAGGTGACATGCTGACAGGTCCCCTCGATGAGGGCATGCTCCTCGTCTCCGTCAGGCCGTATGGTTATTGTGGGAAGTGGGGGACGGGCAAGACCTGGCCTCCTGCAGGAAGGGATTTCCTCGACTTGATTGGAAAATTTTTCTCTGCCTTCTTTGTTCTCGAGTGCGTTGCAAAGATCATAGCTCTGGGCCTGTTCTGGGGGTCAAAGACCTACCTGGCGGAGCTTTGGAACTGGTGAGTGAGCCTCGTCTGCTGCAATGTCTGTGATGAGATATCTTACTGGTTGCTCACAAAGGTTGGATTTTGTGGTTGTAATAATAGGTATTCTGGATTTTATTCCCAGTGGAGGACAGGGCTCAGGAAATCTAAGTGCACTGCGTTCACTGCGCGTTCTGCGGCCCTTGCGAGCTGTAAACAAGTTCCCTGAGCTCAAGTTTTTGGTGGTGCTCCTGCTGCAGGTGAAGGCTCGGCTGCTCTTGTTGCCGTTGTAACCCCTGTTGCAGTGCCTGCCAGCCCTGGGGAACGTCATTGGCGTCTGCCTTTTTATATTCTTTGTTTTCGGCATCCTCGGAGTTCAACTGTTCAGCGGTAATTCAGCTTGCTTGCGGAGGGAGGAGGAAACTTTTGTGTCCGCGTCTGACGTGAGACTACCAACAGGGTTGATGCGAGGGGTGTGTTTCGACATCGACACGGGGGTGGTGTCGGGGGACGGGTCGAGCTGCTGGCTGGGGCCTCGTGACACCGACGAGTGGGTTTATTTCTGGGCGTCGAAAGGGATGGACGTAACGTCGGGCAGTCACAGCGGGGGGATGTTTCAATGCTCCGTTGGACAAGAATGCTTGCTCCTGGGGGAGAACCCGGGGCGAGGCGCCATCAACTTCGACTCGATCGGCGGTGCGATCACAACTATCTTCCAGGTGATGACCTTGGAGGGGTGGACGGACATCTGCTATCAGATCCAAGACACTGTTGGCTTCTGGAACTTCCTGTACTTTGTTCTCCTGGTTTCTCTCGGCCCTTTTTTTGCGGTCCAGCTCTTCCTGGTGGTGATTGCGATGAGGTATTCGCAGCTGACGGAGGAGTACAAGAACAAGAGCAGCGAAGTGAAGGTAGAGAAGGTGGTCGAGGAATTCATTGCGAACCCTGCAGAAGGCAAATCTGCAAAGGTTGCTCCAGAGTCGTCCGTACACTCCCCGTTGAACGCTCGTGAACGGTTCACGAGTATGTCTTGGGATGACATTGAAGCAAGAATGCGGAACGGTGGGTCAGTGAATCTCAGCCTGAACCAAAAAACACCCAAGAAGACAGGGCTGTCTTGGTTGAAGTTCAAGCTCAGACTCCTTGCCAAGTCTCCTGCGTTGACAAACTTCATTCTTGGAGTGATTACAGTCAACACCGTGTGCATGGCGACTGGAGGGATCTGCACGTACGAACAAGATTGGTGCCCAGGATTTCACGCTTCTCTGCAAATCATGAATCTTATCTTCACCGCTTGTTTCGTTGGGGAGATGTTGATCAAGATGATAGGGCTGGGCACCACCTTTCGATTTCCCTTCCTCAAGTACTTCCAGTCCGGCCTCAACATCTTCGATTTTGTGATTGTTATGGCGAGCGTTGTCGAGCTGCCGTCTGTGATTAGCATGTACATCTGCTTCACTGAGAAGCCGACCCCGAGCATGCTGGGGCAGCAGGTAGACCTGTCGGACGTGGTGCAGGTCTCGCCGGACACTCTCACTCCACAGATTCGAAGTTCCCTGATCGTCCCCAAGGTCCTGAACCTGACGGGCGTTCTCAGCATGAACCCACTGCAGTACTACAACTGCGACGGGAACGGGGCTACATCCGTGCTGAGGGCCTTCAGGCTGGTGCGTCTGACTAAGTTTCTACGGGCCATGCCAGACCTGCAGAAACAGATTCGCATCCTCGGATCCGTGATGAAGTCCGTCAGCGCGCTCATCGGTCTGATCCTGATGATGCTCCTCATCTACACGATCCTGGGGATGAATGTGCTGGGCGGGAAGATGATCGACCTGCTGTCCAACGTAGACCTGCAGCGAGGCTCCGCGGTCTACGTCCAGTTCCCGTGGGACATGAATGGCGGGGAGCCACGCCATGGGATTATCAAGGCGTTCGACTTCATCAACCACTCGCAGACGCCATGGCACGTCTACGTTGAGTTTGGCGACATCGACCCTGTGGTCAACCGTTCCCTGGGAGGGCGCCTCGATAGCAGGGGCATGATATGGAGCGCCGTGGATGGTGATCCAGTCCTGAATGTGCCTAAAATTGTCTCTGCCTCGCCACGATTCCACTTCGACGATCTAGGACATGCCTTCTTGACTTCGTTCCAGGTCATGACCATCGCCAACTGGAACGATGACATGTACACAGCAGTCGCAAACGCGGGGGCAGCGAGCGGATTCTGGTTCTACAGCCTGATTGTTTTCGGGAACTGGATTCTGTTCAACCTGTTTGTAGCCATTCTGATCCAGAAGTTCGGAGAGCTGAAGGCGCAGGCGATAGAGCAGAATGAGGAGCTCATGCAGAAGCAGCTGATGGAGAAGCTGGGGCATCTGGAGGAGGGGGAGCTGGGATCGAGGATCGAAGAGCTGTTCACTGAGATCGACAAGGATGGGTCAGGGGAGATCGACGTGTACGAGTTCAACGACGCGCTGGTCATGCTGGGGATCAACTACTTCAGCAACAAGCCGAGGGACCTCAAGAAGCTGGTGCAGAAGTATGACACGGATGGGACCGGCAGGATCAGTTTCGATGAGTTTGTGAGCATGATCGTGGAGCTGCTCGCCAAGGCTCGCATCACCATTCAGTCGACCACCATCAACAAGGTGCACCTGCAACACAGGGAGACGCAGAGGAAGATTCATCAGCAGCCAGTGCCCGTGGAGGTGGTGGAGAAGAAATCCTGCTTCTGCTTTCCTCCCAACTCGATTGTGCGCAAGGGCTGCAAGGCGGTGATGGTGAACAAGTACTTCGAGAGGTACATCCTGCTCTGTATCCTCATGAGCACAATCTGCCTCGCGATTCAAAACCCGTACATTTCTGACACGAGCGTGATGTCCGCCTTCCTCAACAACGCCAACTACATCCTAAACGCCTCCTTCACCCTGGAGATGATCTTCAAGATCGTCGCGCTCTCCTTCCCAACTTACATCAAGTCTGGATGGAATCGGCTTGACTTCTTTCTTGTTGTCACCAGCGACATCGATGTCCTCTTCACCGTCATCCTCAGCGGGCTCAACGTCAACCTTGGGGCCCTTAAGATCTTCAGAATCTTCAGGATCTTCCGAGCCCTTCGCCCCCTGCGCATCTTGTCGCGAGCCAAGGGGCTGCGGGTGCTGGTGATGACAATGGCGAGCGCCGTGAAGCCGCTCATGAACACTGGGATCCTCTGCGTGGCGTTCTGCATCGTGTTTGGAATCTTGGGGATGCAGCTGCTGGAAGGGAAGATCGTCTGGTGTAGCGACCCGACGGTGTGGACGATGATGGAGTGCGTGGGGTTGGACTCGGATGGGAATGCGCGGCAGTGGACGCACTACAGCTTCAACTTTGACAACCTGGGGAGCGCGATCCTGACGCAGCTGATGCTGGCAAGCCAGGACAACTGGCCGAACCACTTCTGGTCAGGCGCCGACACCACGAGCAAGATCACGGGGCCTGAGGAGAACAACCAGCTCTTCATGGCGTCGATCTTCTACATCGTCTCCCTGCTGGTGGCCGGTGCTGTGATAGTAAACATGGTGGTGGGCGTGTTTGTAGACTGCTACTTCGCTTCCATGGAGGACTACACCAAGACCGCTGCGGAGCCGACAAAGATTGTCCTGAAGCTCCCCGAGGTGTTCGACGACCCTACGTCGGGGATCCGGCTGAAGGCGTTCAGAGTGATCAGCCACTCCAAGTTCGATCTCTTCATCGCCTTCTTCATCATCACCAACGTGCTCACCATGTCGTTCGAGAGCTTCAAGCCCAGCGACTGGCAGAACCGATTCCAGAAGGTCTGCAATTTCTTCTTCACGTTCATCTTCGGCGGGGAGTGCGTGCTCAAGATACTTGCGTTCCACCCCAAGAGATACTTCAGGGGCAACTGGAACAAGTTCGACTTCTTCATCGTGATGACGAGCTTCATCGGCATCATGATTGACAACGCCGGTGCGGCTCTCGGATTCAACCCCACCATCCTCAGAATTCTCAGGATCTTCCGTATCTTCCGCATCCTCCGCGCCTTCCGCATCTTCAAGACTCTCAAGGGCCTGCAGGCCATCGTGGCGACGCTAGGGAGCTCGCTGCCAGCCATCGGCAACCTCGTGGGAGGCCTCTGCCTCCTCTTCTTCATCTTCGGCGTGCTCGGCGTGAACCTCTTCGGCAGCATGTGCGTCTCAGGGGACGAGGGGCAGCCGGACAACCTGGGGATCCGGTGCATGTTCACCGACCCCGACTACCTGCTGGAGAGGCACGCGCACTTCCAGGGGGTCGGCATGGCCCTCCTGACTCTCTTCAGGACTGCCAGTGGGGACAACTGGGGGGCGCTCCTGCCCATCTTCGGGCTCGCTGCCCCAGCAAGGACGCCCGTGCCGCAGGACGTGTGGGACCTGTACGTGTCCAAGTTCGGTTACGATCCCTCGGCAGGGTGGAAGCTGCACGCGAGCGCGAACTTGACGCATTTCTCGCAGCACTCCTCAGACGCCGCCATGTACATCGCCGCCAACGCGCTTCTCAAGAGGAACGAGTCCATGACCCTGTACGGGGAGGACACTGAGAACTGGATGAACCTTGCTCAGCTGGCGCTCCCTATGTGCCTCACGGACTCGGAGGCAAGCTTCCTCGAGGAGATGGGACTGATGAATTGCTCCACCCCCGGGCAGTCCTCCTCCTCGGGCTACGTGGCTTGCGTCTCCAGCTGCGGCCCGTACAACGCTGCAGCCCCGGCGATCTCCTCCATCTATTTCTACCTCTTCTACTCCATGTCTGGCTTCATCTTGCTCAACATCGTCATCGGAGTGCTGATGGACCAGCTTGAAAATGCTGAAGACACAGAGAAGGAAAGTCACGACCTGGTGCCCAACGCCAAGGAGCTGAGCGTCCTGGTCTTCAACCGGATCTACCGCAGGTGGCACTTTCAAGCTCGCAGGTTCGCGATGCAGGCAGCGTCGCATCATCATCAGGAAGAGTCTCCCCTGAGCCCCTATCCTGAGCACGCGAGCTAGTCGGGGTCTCGGTCCGAGCACGCCAGCCTAGTCAGGGTCTCGGTCCTACCTTTCAGACTTCTCCTCCTCAACTCTTCAGTCTCTCTCTCCCTCTCATTTTTCTCCCTCCTGGCCTTGTCAGGCTTCAACGTGCAACTCAACTTGAAGGCTTGTTAGCCAGGGGTTCAAAGTTTTTCCGCCGCGCCGCATCTCAGCATTTCAGTTTCCTCACTGCCCAACTTGAAAATCAAAAAAAAAATACAAGCAATGTCTATGTGATAGTAGCAGTAAAGCAATCATGTTCAAATCCGAACCCATCAATCCCAGCGGGCGGCTGACCCGCAGATCATCTCATCCTTGATCAGTGCTCTGATGTAGCGGCCTCTGATTCTAGTATCTGACTTAGCATCCTGAGACTTCGGATCATGGTTGCCGCCAGTTTCAGTTTCAAGTTCCTTCCAGTTCGCCGGAACTTCCGAAGCCAATTCAGTACTACAGTCAACTGCCGCCTGATCTTCAATGCAAAGATCATCCGTGGCAGTGGATTGACTCGCCGATGATGATGCAGCGGCGGGCCGCACGGTACAGGCTTTACTCCGGTGGCAAACTTAAGTTCATGATTCAAACGGAGTTTGAAAATCAGTAACTTGGCAGGTGACGGTGACAACTTGATCCGATGATCAGCCTGAGACTCGGAGCCTCACTGAGTAGAGAGGCCGCCCCCGCTTGCCGGCGACTGCGAGACTGCCAGTCACCGGGGGGGTGGGGGTGGGCGGCCGCCCCCGGCCCCCCCCCACCCGGGCCCCCCCCCGCCCGGGCCCGGGCCGCGGGAGCCTGAGCCTGAGTGATCACGCCGAGTCGGAGTCAGTGCCAGTGCCTGCGGGCCCCGGCCCGGGGCCCGGGGCCGGCCTGGGCGGTCCAACTTGAAGGTAACTTAAGTAAGGTTACCATGCCCCGGGCCGCGGCGGCCCTGCCCGGGCCAGACTCGGACCATCGAACGGTCTGACGGTACTCGCCGGACTCCGGAGTCGGCTGGCTCAGCTTCAGCCTACTGACATCTGTCACGAGGTGGCACGGAGTGTAGTAACAAGAATGATGACGCCGGAGACGGGATAAATGAGTTCACCTGGTCAGCATTGTGTAGTAAAAGAAGGTGCTGACAATCTAAACCGGGCGTCGTCCTCGAAAAGGAGTGTTACCTACGAGATCTTTCGGGATCGATGCGTTTAGGGATCGGATATTTTGTCATCAAAGAGGAGTCATGTCCGTTCGATCGCTTAGGAGAAGGCAGTTAGCAGGATTTGGGGGCGAGGCAATAAATACGGGTCGGGTGTAAAGGGAGGAAACCAGCAGAAGAGACTACAATTCAGCACTCAAAATTGAAGCAGGAAGAAAGTTTTCGATATCGATCGACACTACACATTGTGATTTTATTCATACGTAAACGAAATTTTCTTGTCTTGAACAGAAAGGCGAAAATGGCCGGAGGCAATCCCGACCAAACTGCATTATCAGCTGAGCCTAGGGCACAGCATTCACGGGATCAAAGATCATCGTCGGATTCGAGCACAGCACATCTCTATTTCTACCAAGAGCTGCGTGCGAGTTGCGGGGAATCGAAGGCGAACGAGTGGCTCTTACGAAACATACGATCTAGCAAGGCATCATCAGGTCAAATATGTCGAGACAAGGAGAGGAGAAGATCGTTGATGTGCCTTGAGAACGCCACAAGTGTGTCTCACATCAACATGAGAAATTGTGGGCTCCGAACGCGGTCAACTAGCGTGGATCTTCAGATTCAACCGCCCTCCCCTCAGTCAATAAGGTCCGAAGATTCCGTCATGGACTTGAAATCCATTTACAAGTCTTTGATAGAACAGAAGTGCACAAATTCTCAAAGTGGGATTACGAGCCGTGAGCTTATGGAATCTGACGACAGCAAGTGCTTCCTTGGGTTACTGTTCACATCGGAAGCGTGCAACGTCCTCGATAAGTGCATTACCTAGGATGGACTAGAGCTGATAAAGACACATACTACGATAAATAAAAATTGTAACAAGATTGTTGACTTGCCTTAAACTTGGGCATGTCTTCTCCTCGCAACTTGCCACCCGTGCATATTACACGAACATAACATACTTGATGATACCAGTTCGGAAGCGCAAAACCAACAGACGATGCGGATTATGAAATAGTCATACGTATCAAGCATTTCATTGATTTTTGAACGGATTCATTATCTTTGAACAAAAATTCAATGCCCGATTGACTTGCAGCCTATGATACATGTTTCCTACTATGAAATTTGCACACTCTTTCAACATTCGATTGCATCGTCCAGAACCAAATTGGCCTCTGACGTGTAAAGTAATCCAGCTTTTGATCCGAGCTTGGTCTGAAACTTCTGCATTTCCTTCTTTTTGAGTATCGCTTGAAGCAGACAGTCAGTAGGCTCCATAGAATCAAAAAACGACTTAGGTGTGGTTGGTAGGCTAATGGCTGTCGGCACGCAGTTCAAGGACAAGCCTTTCTTGTTTCTGGTCCCCTTTGCTGCCTTTTGTAGCTCAACCGAGCTTGGTCTCTGCCTTGGCGAAACTGGTGAGCTGCCTGGTTCAACGGAAGACGTTTGCGATCGAGTTGGTGAAATCGAGACGGATTTTAACCACGAAGAAGCCACGTCGACTCCACAAGTCCTGCTGAGCTCCTCGAAGAAGAACAGCTCTGCGACACACAGCTTGTGTGATGAGCATGGACTGAGTAGGTTGGTATCGCAAGACTGCTTCATCTTGGTTCACTTGCCCTCAGCCAATCTCGGCTTGCTCGCGTTCAGTCCTTCCGGAGTCTTCAAACTTGTTTTTGGCTATTTGTTCTTGCTTCTGCTCTTGCTTCTGCTCTTGCTCTCTCTTATTTCTATGCTTGCTTGAGCTGTCCTCTCTTTCTTTCTGCACAACGCTCTCCTTGGCCACTTGTTGGAGTGTAGTTGCCCTCGTTTACGTACTAGCGAATCTGACGTACTTGGTTCTTATAAATGGCAATTTGGGGTTTCAATTTTGAAGTTCTTTTTAAATATTTGAAAATTCTGGATGATGTTTCTGAATATTTCAGTGAAGACACGCGAACATTTGAGAGTTTTCGCGATGCTCGATTTTGAGGGGGCGGAAAGGCAAGGACTAAACAGGACCACCCGTATATTTCCCCTAAAAAAGGGGGTGGTGTACGATCGCACCGCTGAACAAAAGGTTTTTGCTGAAAGAAAAGGCCTTTGTGGTAGTTTGTGTTGCCAGGTGGGTGTTGTTGTTACAATCCATGGGTGGGTGCTCACAAGTTGAGCTGAAGGGGTGGATGGGTACTCTTGACTGATGTTCACCCCTCTATTTGTAGGATTTTTCTGGGGTATTGAACCCACCTTGGAGGTTGAATTGGGAGGTTCGGCTGCAGGTGTGGCCTTGAGCTGAAGGAAGGGGGTAGGGGTGATATCGACCTCTTTGTCCGAAAGGTGGGTGATGTCATACTTTTAAAAAGCTCTGATAAACAATTATAAAACCATCAAAACTCATCATGAGCTACCGACCCCCTGTTGAGACCGGGCTGAAATATGTCTGAGGGGGTATCGGCACTAATCCGAGGGGTGCTTCGACACTGTGTAGTAAAACTGTACTATACATCGAGAAGGGGTGTGATAGATATATTTCAGTGGGGGTGGGTACAGCTGTGCATGACCATGGGTCATTTTCGTCACAGCAGAACGCTAAAAAGAACTTTAACCCTACGAGCTCCGAGCACTACATGCACAACACAAAAAAGTCAAATTTGTACCGAATACCTCGATTAAGTATAACTTGCTAGTCAATAGATCTTTCAGTATGTTGGCTACAAATCGTGCCCGTCGCGAGCGGCCGGAGGACCGGCACTGAGCCGGGCTTTGGCAGCTCAACTTGCCAAGCCGGGCCCGGGCCCTGCCCACATAACCATAACCGTTTGTAACTGCTAGTATGTAGGAGAGTCAGGAAATGAGCAAGGCGGGCACAGAAAAGCGAGTGAGGGTGAGGATGGAGCATGAGACAGCAGCGAGGTTGGCTAAGATAATGCTGAACGCAGTGGACGATGGCGAAAATGATTCTGACGTCGATTCTTCCATGCCGAGAAATGAGAGCTTGTCGGAACGAGTGCAGTTCGAAGCACCACGGCATGAGAAAAGGAAGGTGAAAGGACGATGGATCTGGCAAAAAATTGATGAGGATGCAAGGAGCGTGACAGAGGGAAATCAAGTGAACCAGCGATCTCCAAGCGTCAAGTTTGGTGTTGAGGAAAAATTCGAATCGCACAACAACAGCAGGAGAAATCATGAGGAAAGTCAGGGGAAAGGCATATCCACAACACTCAAGAGCAGTAACTACCCGTATGATAGTGCTGTGTATGTCAGATCATTGATGGAGAGATCTTCAATCTTGCCAGGCGAGGAGATGGCAATGAGGGACGTTTGTGAAGAGGACGATGGCGGAATGGTTGAAACAGTTCAAGGCAATTTTACAGGAAGAGGTCTGACTTCAGCAGAAAAACGACTTGCTAAGGCAAGCCTGGGGCCAGTGTCTATGATGTACGGCTACTTACAGGCACGTTGACTTGACATCCTGAAACTTCCATGCAGGAAGTATATCATCATTCCACTTGCAATTTTGTTTGCAGGGTAAGTTATGGAGTTCGAGAGGAGGGACCTTCGAGATCTTACTCGCTGATTTATTGTGCACTAGGCTCTTGCTCTTTTGCAAGGATGGAAGGTTTTCCATGAGCACGAACTTCGACGTGTACGACCTCTGCAAGTAAGCCTCAACAACTTCGAAATCCACACCTGCATGTACTGCATTGATCTAGCTCTCAGGTCAAACCCCCATTTCCCCTGTCAGAACTATCGTCCATTGCTGGCTCCTCCAATCCCTCTGCAGCAACAGGACCGAAGTGGAGGGGTTCAACCTGCTGATCCGAATGTCATGTATGCTCAATCAAGATTGACAAGGAAAACCTCAGGGAGATCGCGCTTTGTGAATGCAATGATTAAGCACATACAAAGCAGAACAGAGACACCATGAGGAAGACTTTGCACAGTGTAAACAATTTATTCTTTTTATTAACATTAGACTCCGCATGTACAACAATTGATCGTGTTTCATAATCACAAACTTCTCTTCGGTGAACTACATCTAAGGATATCACGTGCTGTCGCAACTAAAAACAACTTGTTTCAAAAGTTCCACTCTCGCAGAGGTTTAGCTTCGTTCCGCTGTTCTCTATTGGATCCATGTTGAGAAGATGCAGGAAGCAAGAGATCAATCCACGGAATAAAGCAGTTCATCGGATCTTTTCCGCATCCGGTCTTCTCCCAACCTGGCACTGGCCCGTAAATGATTTGATCGGAATAAATCTTTGGACCCTGTCGCTTGTTGCACCCAAGCTCAACGCTCCTGCGTGCTCCTCTGTTTTCGTCTGAAGCATTGCGCTGCTTCGACGATCCCGCATTTATCTGCACGAACGGCTCCTGGACCCTTGACGACTCTGGGCTTCCTTCTCCATCCGCTGCCAGACGGTGTTTGGGCGCAGAGCTAGCGTCAAAAATCATCCTGGCGATGATGTCTTTGTGGACCTGCTCTTCCTGCGTTTCGGACAAGTGCAAGTTCAGCTCCGCTTGAGTGCATAAAACTTCTGTAGAATATGATTCCGGCATTGTATCACGGTTGAAGAAGAATAACCAAGATATCGAAGACAGATAGGTCCTTGGCAGAGAACGTGGGTAAGTTTCAGTCCCCTCTCTTCAGATCCGAGGCTGTAGAGGACTCAACAAGCAAGACTATGCAGTGTCTTGATCAAGAGAGTATCTCACAAGCACGAGATGAGGAGGAGGAGACACAATTGATGGGTCAATGATGAGAACGAGGCAGACGAAGACGAGGAGGGAGTGCGGCAACAAAGATATGATCGCGGCTCCAGGCCCAGTGTGAAAACAGGAGGACGACGATCTGGTCACGTAACTAATGGGGGCCCAGGGATTACCGAATAGGGGTTTCTAGTTGACGAAATTTAAATTTGGCTTCTCAAATTATCTGACAAAAATTCTGATTTTCATAGATAAATTTGGATTCACAACAGGACATTGCTTTCACAGTCAAAACTTCTCCTTGTAAAAACTAAAAAGCAGTAATTAAGATCCGAAAACATTATATGATTGGTATTGTTACACTGAAATTCATACCCTTCTTTAAAAATTATATACAGATATTTTGTACCTTCTACTTCAGCAGTTAGTTTATAATAATACCAAAAACGCTTGAACAGTACAAATTTCACCATCTATAACATTTATAGAGGGCAGTTACAATTCAGAGAATACTTTTGGGGACCAGATGTCAACACATGGGTGGGGTTCTCAAACCCGAATGAACCCAACACATGGGTACATTTCATATTCAATGGGGAGGTAGGGTGTGAAGTATCTCCGAAAATTTGCAAGGGGGTACAAAATCTGTCAATTTGGTACTGTCGAAGGGTCAACGTCTTGTAGAAACAGTACCACATTGAAAATGTTTTTAATAATATAAAAGTTATAGCTTTGTAAAAGTGATTCGATTCTCGTGCAACGCACTGCCTCAAAGCTAGCAATCACACATATCTGTAACGGCCCATGCATTCGGTAACCGATGTGAGGTGAACAGGCATCGAAATGCAATGGCTAGCAGTGCAGGAGGGCAGGGAGGGATCAGGGAGGTTTTATGGCGATGAGAGGACGACGAGGGCAAGATAAGAGGACAAGTACCACGAGCAGTGAGCTGTTGGTAGATCTATGGCCCACTCGGAGCAGGATGGTGACCGTTGGAACCGATTTGCCCACAGATGTTGCTTGTCGAAATTTTCTAGCTTGAAGGAAAAAAATGAGCCAATAGATGCATTGCTGCTGAACGTCATGTCAGTTTTGACTGTTCATGGTGCAGGGCATCATGAAACACCTTCTGACGGCTCTGCTTCTCTTCGTCAGCACCGTTGCGGTCGCGTTGTTCGCGACTTCTGGCAGAAAAGAGGAGAGCGTCATGATACCCCGTCATGTCCGAGCCGCGGCATTGAAGCAGGTCTGTGCTTACCATTGTGCTTGCGATTGAATGAAAAGCATCTTCTATCTCGGCAGAGGATGCAAACTCTCTGGGCCGAGAACCTCCCGGACAAGAACGTCTTCGACGACTTTGACAAGGGCTACAAGCAGCCGCCCTACAAGAAGCAGCCGACGGAGAAGAACGTCTTCGAGGACTTTGACAAGGGCTACCATGCTCCCAAGTACCACTCACTTGCAGAGGAGAAGGATGAGAACCCGTTCGACAGCCTGCCCGACAATTACCCTTTCAATGAAGTTGCAGGAGGGCACGAGTGGCACCACTGGGACGGCGACAGCCCCATGGACGCGCTGAAGGAGCACAACGTGCTCGACACTGGCAGTGAGGACGAGGCTTACCAGATAGGAGAGCACAGCCTGGGAAGACCGTTCAGGTAGGAGGAGAGCAGCAAGAGAGGAGGGGAGGGGAGGGGAGCAGGGGCAGGGAGAGGACAAAGAATAGGAGACTCGGTGACGGGAGTGGCAGGGAGTACAAGCCGGAGAAGAATGTGTTGGACGAGGTGTCAGACGACAAGCCCTACGTGTGGGGAAAGACGGACAAATCCATCCCCGAGAAGAATGTCCTTTCGGGTCTGTCACCTGACTCCGGATACCCTGACGAGTGAACTTGTGTCTCCCCGATCTCATATCTCCTCCTCCTATTCATTTCGTCTTCTCGACTTGTTGTCTGCTTCCCACTCTTTCCACCGGATGCTCCTCTTTGTTTCCTCCGTTGATTGTACTCTGCTCTGCTGCCCACTCATGCTGGACGCTGCTCATCGGGATCCTCCAAGGAAGAAAAAGCTGAAAGAAACATTGTCTTGTTTGTATTGATAGATTCGGTACTTTGGGTTTGCTGTGAAATTATACATCTCAACCTCATCATCAAAATTTTGCCCTTTCCTAACATACTATTTCCCATGTTTCCCTCCTCTTCTCCCACCTCGTGCAGCTGCCCCGTTCCCTTCCTCTCTCTCTTCCTGCTCTCGCTATCTCTCCCCTTGTCCCTACCGCTCTCTCTCTCACCCTCCATTCATCTTCTCCATCTTCTTCCCTGTCATCGCTTCCAGGAGAACCTCGGGCACCATCGACCTGCAGGAGCAGGTGATTGCGAGCCTTCTTCCTCTATCTCCCGCACCATGTTGCGGCCCGTAGCCCATGACGAGGGGAGCAGCGTCTCTGATCCCGCAGGATTCGCAGCGGAGGGAAGCAGGCTCTGTCACTTTATCAGCCCAGCGATAGGAGGAAGCGAGTACCTGACGAAGGAACTCCGTCCATGCCGACATCCTTGTCCTTCCCCACGTTCTCTTCCTCCTCCACCTTCCTCAAGTCCTGCAGTACCTGCGTCTTGATGCTGTTGTCCGGGACTACAAGCCTTGTCAGGCTCGTCTGCAAGGAGTTTCGAGCACGTCAGCCTTACCGACAGTCTGCGGCTGCAGCCAGAGCGGGCGGACAGAGCTGAGCACGTGGGGCATGTCGATCGTCTCTTGCTCCTGCAGGGCCTCCGCTCCAACGCCTGAGGAGGAAACGAGAATAAGAAAGTCGAACAAGGGAGGAGTTGTGGAGACTTTGATTGCGGGCATTACTGCTCCTGTCTTTGCCGTTCTGCCTGTCATGATCGACCCCGTGCACACTCTCGACCTTCTCCTGCAGAGCTGCGACCTGCCGCTGCAGCTGCTCCTTCTCGTCCAGCTGCTTGCTCAGCTGAATGCCGATCTCTTGCGACTGAGCGTTCAGCTCCTTGACCGCGTTCTCGAGGGCCTTACTCCTCGTCAGCTCCATCCTGTAGAGCTCCTGCGTCTCCTGCAGACTTGCCAACAGCTCCAGTCGCTCAGTGTTGAGGGCGAGCACCTTCCTCCCGACCTCGTCTGTCTGCTCCTGACACTCTCCCTGAACCCCAAGGAGCTTCTCCTTGTACGCCTCCTCTGCTCTGCTCGCTGCTTGGGTCCAGCTGCTTCTCTCTCGCTCGTAGTCTGCCTTGACGCTCACAAGCTGCTCCCTTGCCGAGCTAACGCACAAGTTAAAGTCTTGACGAGAAGGAGAGAGCGGCAGGGGAGGGGGGGAAGGAATTGGGCGGAGTGAGGCGCAGGAGGAGAGGGAGGAGGAGGAGGAGGAGGAGGAGGAGGAGGAGGAGGAGGAGGAGGAGGAGGACAGGAGAGAAATGAGGGTAGGAAAAGAGAGGGAGGAGGGAGGAGCAGGTACCGCAAAGCCTGGTCGGTTCTCTCCACATTCTCATCAAGGAGCTGCTGTAGCTCAAGGACACGAGTGCTGGCATCTTTCAGCTGCTCCTCCAACCCCGCCCTCAGCTCCTTCTCACGCTCCAGGTCGACGTGAAGTTGTTTCCTCTCACAGAGGATCCTCTCCTCCATCTCCCGCATCTTGCCGCGCATGCTCTCAAACTTCATCTCGAATTGCTGCTCGGAGCAGTGCTCTAACCTCTGATGCGCCTCCTTCAACTTGCCGTGCTCCAAGTTCAGCGCGTCCAGCCTTGCAGCATAGTCGTCCTTCCTGCTCTCCAGGCGTCGGATTTCCTTCTGCAGCTCCAGCACCAGCTCTCGGTACTTCAAGTCCTTCACCAAGAAGGCGAGCTGATCGTACCAGGCTCGTTTGTCAGCAAGCTCGTGAAGTTTATCCCCGAAGTCCTCCGCCAGCTTGTTGGCATGCAGCAGTTGCTCAGCAAGGGAGCTCGCGCGTGCCTCCTCTCCCTCCAGCCTCTCCTGCACGCCTGCGAGTCGCTCCTCCGCATCTCTCCTTGCTCTCATGCCGTCCTCGAGTTGACTACTCAGCTCCTCTAGCTTGACCTGCGACGCCTCCAGGTCATGCTGGAGCCTCGCAAGCTCCTGACGCTGCCCCTCCGCTTCTCGCAATCTTTCCGAGCTCTCCCTCCGAGCTTCCTCCAGCTGCTCATCAGCTCCCTTCAGACTGACCTCCAACTCTTTCCTGCTCTTTTCCTCCTCCGAGAGCCTCGTGGACAAGGCTTTGACCTGCTCTCCCAGTGCCTGCTTGTCACTTTCAGCCTGAGCGAGGCACGACTGTAGTCTCCTCGCATCTTCCTCCAGCCTCTCCACCACTTCGAGATGCTGCTTCTGCTCCCTCAGCATCGTCTCCTTGTACTGGTCGTGCTCTGATTTCTCTTTCTCATACATGGCTCGAGCATCGCTCAGCAGTCTCTGTGATGTTTCAAGGTCACTGCACAGCTTCTCCTTCTCCTGTATAAACCGATCGATCTCGCTCTTCAGCCTCTCCCCCTCCTTCCGCCTCGTCTCTTCCGCCTCCGTGAGCGCCGCCACTCTCCTCTCCAGCCCTGCCTTGTCTGTCGTAAGGCCGCGGAGCTTGTCGCTCATGCTTGCTAGCTCCTGCGCCTTTTCCTTCCTGTCTGCCATCATCTGCTCGATCTCCTTGCTCTTCTGCTCCAGCAGAGCGTTCTTATCTACCACCAGCCGCTCCATCCCCTCGCAGCGCAGCTCGAGCTCATGCCTTGCGTCCTCAAGCTTGCTGACGTCATCCTTGCTTGCCTGGAGGCTGCGCCCGAGCTCGTCGATCTCGCTCTTCAGCCTCTCCCCCTCCTTCCGCCTCGTCTCTTCCGCCTCCGTGAGCGCCGCCACTCTCCTCTCCAGCCCTGCCTTGTCTGTCGTAAGGCTGCGGAGCTTGTCGCTCATGCTTGCTAGCTCCTGCGCCTTTTCCTTCCTGTCTGCCATCATCTGCTCGATCTCCTTGCTCTTCTGCTCCAGCAGAGCGTTCTTGTCCACCACCAGCCGCTCCATCCCCTCGCAGCGCAGCTCGAGCTCATGCCTTGCGTCCTCAAGCTTGCTGACGTCATCCTTGCTTGCCTGGAGGCTGCGCCCGAGCTCGTCGATCTCGCTCTTCAGCCTCTCCCCCTCCTTCCGCCTCGTCTCTTCCGCCTCCGTCAGCGCCGCCACTCTCCTCTCCAGCCCTGCCTTGTCTGTCGTAAGGCTGCGGAGCTTGTCGTTCAAGGTTAAGATCTGTTGAGCTTTGGATTCGACCTCCCCTTTTATAGCTAGAAGTTGATGACTCAACTCCTGACGAGCCCGCACGAGCTCTTCTCTCTCACTCTGCAACTTTGTTATTGTCTCCTCTCGGCTCGCAAGCTTCCGCTTCTGCTCCTCCTCCCCACTCAACATACTCTCCTGCAACTCCTTCACCGCAGAAGCATGCTCCTGCTCCAGCCGCTGCATCTGCTCTCTGAGCCCATTCAAGTCTCTTAAGGACTTCTCCTCAACTCTCTTCATTTTCTCTCTCAGCTCTGACGCCTCTTCTTGCCGCACCCTCTCCGACTCCTTCAGCTTCGCCATCGCATCCTCGAGCTCATGCGCACTCCGTTGACCCTCCTGCTTCGCAGAGTTGAGAGACTCAAACAGACGGTCCCGCTCCTCCAGCGCCGCCAACAGCTCCTTCCTGATCAGCGTGTTCTCTTCCAGCCTGGACCTCGCGGTAGCTTCGCTCGAATGAAGGCCGTCGAGCGTCTCACTGCAAAGAGCCTCAAGATCGGCTATATGCTCTCGCAGAGCCTCTTCCACCCTCTGGTTCCAGTCGGTCACGATAGAGACTTGTTTCTGCCAGTGCGGCCAGTCAGACGCAGGACAGGACAGGACAGGACAGGACAACAGGACAGGCTCCTCCAACCTCGATAGCTCGAGCAAGGCCGTCCACCTTCTCCGGGCGAGGAGCCCGGGCCTCGGCCAGCAGCTCCGCCAACTGGAGGTAGAGGTCCTTCACCTACATCGAAGTCAGGATCCACCGCACGCCCTCAAGCATGAGAACCTTATCAACCGATCGCATGTCCGCACGGGTCAAGGTCAGCGTTGACTTGCCTTTGTCAGGTTTCTCGACCTGTATCGTCACCTGGTCTCCCCGTCATCCTCCTCGCACTCCCTCTCTCTCGTCCTTACCCGACTGCCGATCTCGTCTGAGCCTCGGAGCAGCTGAATCACGTTCCCTGTCGTCGTCGTCTTCCCGTCGATCGAGATCACTGAGTCAGACTTTTCGATCTTGCTGCCTGCAGCCCAATATGACATCAGCTGACTCTAACTCAGCCTAGCTCGCCTGCCCTTACTTCCCTTGCCAGCCTTGAACGCAGGGCCACCTGGAACCACCATAGAGACCTACCAAACTGTCAGTTCGAACAGTACGGGTAAGGAGGAAGGGGGGGGGAGAGCACAGGGGAGTAGCAGGAGCTAAGAGGAGCAAGAAGTCGAGGAAGACTGATGAGGATGACCTGGACGCCCTCTAGGACGATGCCGACCGTTGACTTGCTGCCAAGGTGGTTCTGCGACTCAGACAGCGTGTGCCTCCTCCTCAGCGACGCGACGACCTCTGCGATGCCAGTGGGTCCAGTCAGCAACTGAGATGCGCGGGAGGAGGCTGATGCTCGCTGTTGCACACCTGGGAGAACCATCCTCCCGGAGCCGCTGAGCTGAAACGATAAATGCAGGCAGACAGTGAGCCACGAAGACCCAACGAAGTTCAATGCGAGTCAGTGATCCTCCGAGAGACGACGGTCTGGCGTAGTCCAACGAGCCAGGCGCCTTCTCACCTTTGTACCTGATGCAGACAAGCTGACTCAGTGAGCAGCTAAGCATGTTCGACTCGGAACTCAGTCCAAACTCATTACAGCACCGGTCACCAACATACTACTGGATCGGATACTAAGACATGGGCGGCAGGAGGAGCCTCAGAGTGGGAGGATCAAGACAGGAGCAGGAGCAGGAGCAGGAGCAGGAGCAGGAGCAGGAGCAGGAGCAGGAGCAGGAGCAGGAGCAGGAGCAGGAGCAGGAGCAAGAGCAGGAGTAGGAGCAGGAGCAGGAGCAGGGTTCACTGCTGTGTTCACACGCCCATTTTAGTCCCTCTGACCGCGATATGAGGTCCGCCTCAGCATGTACCCACCCCTACCCCCTCCAATTACTGTAAATTTACCGCTGGAGAACACAAAGTGGCGTCTCACCCCTGGATTCAAAGTCAAAGGGACCCCTGCTGTTCGGTAGAGCCTCTCCCCAACCATGGCTGGTGTTCCGATCCCGATTCTCGTGGGGGCGCCGGTGGCGATGCTGGGAGTGATGTCGACGATCAGGTGAGAGTTGATTACAAGTCAGAACAGCTTAGATCAGCTCCGCTCAGGTTATCTCAGGTCAGCTCAGCTCAGCTCAGCGCAGGTCAGGTCAAAACAAGTCAAGTCAGGACAGCACTAGAGAGGATATAAGATTGAAAGGATTGTGAACATGCAGTGGTTGTCGCTGTCAGCAGGAGAGGCGATGAGAAGGAGAGAGCAAGAGTGGGTGTCGCCCATGGAGGAGGGGGTTCATACATCCAGGGCCCTCATGCTTGTTGTATGAGTGACCAATCGCTGCAGTCCTTCAGTTGCAAATGTCACCAAGAGGATGGTGGAATATCTGAGGTGAGCCGGAGCATCTCATCCTGTTCTGATCGATGTGAAGGGCGTACGCTCACATGATCTTCACGACCGAGAGCAACTTCAAGGGGCGCCTTAAGAGTCTACCAGACCCAGACCTGATCAAGAACGCTTCAAACCTGCAGGTGCAGGAGGGTCGGGCCGTGCTAATGAGCTGACGATGACTTGCTGCTCTGAAGAGGGTCGACATGATCTTCATTCGCCACGGCGAGAGTGAGTGGAATGGAGTCTTCAACAAGGACAAGGGGATCATGAAGGTGTTTCTGATTGTTTTGCGCCTCATTCGGGCACTCTTCCTCGAGGTAGCACCCCTGCAGTCGCAGACAGCCCCGTTCACCTTCCTTGGGCAGTTCTTCTGCATGATGAAGGGCGACTCCATCTTCCTAGACTCGCCGCTGAACAGGTTCAACCCTTGAAGAGGAGCGATGGCTCTGGTGTGTGAGGCAACGCTCTTCAGCGATGGGGCTAACCAGGCAAGGCTGCTGCTCAAGTTTCTCTTCGAGGGGCAGAATAACAAGGACCGGTCCTTTCTCCCTGGTGTGAAGCTGACCCCTTGACTCTTGCCGCAGCCTTGTCGACATCCTGGCAGGAAACCAAGTGATCTCCAGGGCTCCCGCAGCGCCTCGTCCTCTTACACCTCATGCGCGCAGGGGAAATCCATCATCGTGTCCTCCAATCTTCGAAGGTGCGTCGAGACTGGCACAGTCGCACTGTGGGGGAGACTGCAGGTATGGCGTCGAGGAGGAGGAGGGGCCCGTTGCCTAACACATCCTGCAATGGCTCAGAGGACCAAGGAGAAGATTCATATCCTCTCTGACCTCCAAGAGATCTCTCGCAACGTCGACACTATGGCACTCTCCCCCCCTATGGGTGTCCCGCCCCTCGATCGGCTCCAGCAGCTGCTGGAGGACCCGAACGCAAATTTTGGAGAGCTCTTCGAGGTCGATGACGTGGGTTGTCACGTGTGCTGCCCACTGACGCGCGAGCAGACGTCGGGCAACGCTGGTCAGAAGCTTGTCTTCGAGTCGGCGGCAGAGCGTGTGATCAGGTGGGAACTTCGGCTTTCAGCTTCCCTTCCCTCATGCGGACAGCGAGAATTTGCCATTGAGCTTGAAACCGTCGCAGGTTCTCTTCCTGGTGCTTCGACAGCCCTCACACCAAGAGCGGGGAGAATACCATCATCGTGAACGGACACTCTCTGTACTTCAAGTACTTGCATGCTTCGCCGTCTTCGCCTCCCCCCTCACTCGTCCTGCAGAACCTTCTTCAATACTTTCCTCCCGAGAAACGAGGACCATGACGCTAAGAAGAAGAAGATCGTCAACACTGGGGTGCGGGAGACGCTTGAGCGTCGGGTGCCTGTGCAACTGACACGAGACATCGCTTCAGGCCGTGGCCTTCACCTTCTACCGCGGACTCGTCAACGACACTTACGTGTACCGGTCTCACTTCCCAACTGCCGCTGCCGCTGCCGCTGACGCTGAAGTTCGCAGTATTGATCCAGAGTCCATCAAGGTGATTTTTGGGGGATTTAAGTAGACAGTGAGTGGGAAAGAGAGAGTTTAAACGGAGTCTGAGTACAAACTGAGTTCTGCCGAGTGGAGTACAACATTTCTTTATTGGAAAACGGCAATCCAAAGACTGTTCAGAGCAGATTGTCAGGGCGTCTTTTCTGACGACAGTTTGTCTTTGTTTGCTGCAATCTGGCTACGAGCAGCAGCTAGATCGTCCTCGGATATGCCAAACTTCCTCTGTAAAGAATAAAGTGACCACCCTCAACAGCCATCATGAATACCTTGATATCTTCTAGGTTGAGATTACTCTACGAGGCAATCAGCGAATGCGCATAAAAAACACAAGCATGTACCAACAAGACGGAGACTTCAGACTTCTTCTTGTCCTGCATCGAGTCTTGCCATGACTGCGGAGCATATCAGGATCGACATGCCACAACCGAGACAACCTCCGTACCCGAAAGCGAGGGTCGTTGCGATCCAGGTCCTCCCATACCTCCTCATCTTTCTTCCAAAACGGCTCCTTCAGGCGAAGGTCAGGTCACATTTGCCATGGCGCAGCACTAGAAGGAGACACCTTGGAGTACAGATCCTCGATCAGACAGTCTAGAACGCTCTCCGACGCCAACATCAATGGGGTCTTGAGGTCGCCGGAGCGGGCATGCACGCCTGCACCAGCATCCAACAGCCACTGGATCGTATGGGGATGGCATCGCTTGCATCGAGCAGCAGCATGCAAGACCCCCTCGTCGCCGTCCGCTAGGATGGACGCGTCTGCTTTGTTGTTGAGAAGGAAAGCTATCACTTCTCGGCCGCCGTTCTCGGCCGCCACGAAGAGAGGCGTGCGCCCTTTGTTGGAACGAGAGTTGATGTCAGCTTTTGCCATACACAACTTCTTCACCGTACTCAGGTCACCACAGGCCGATGCAAGATGCAGGGGCGTATTCCCCATCCTGTTCTTGGCGGTAATATCTGCAGAGAATTCCAAGAAGAGATCTACTGTCGCGTCCCTGTCTCTCTTTGTTGTCTCCATCCCATCAATATCTGACGCAGCATGTGCACGTCTCATCTCATGCATTTCTTCTGCTTCGCCCTCCTTTTCTGCCTCGCCTCCTGCCTTCGTATCCCAATCCCATCCTGATGAACATGCAAAGTGCAGAGGGGAATTGTTCAAGACCCCCTCCGCCCTTGAGAAGATCAGACTTCGATCCTCCTTCAACATTCTTCGGCATTCATCCACGTCGCATGCCATCGCCGCAACATGCAGCCGGTTCCTGCCTACATGGTCCTCCCTCCATCCCCCCATCCCCGCCATGGCTCCCCGACAGCTCCTCCACCTTCAACAGCATTACCCCCTATTTGACCGGAGAATGTACGGGTACGGGTATGTGTTGGGGCAGTGGGGGGAAGAGGGCTTATGATGCACAAGAAACGTATTGTAACTGTCAGGAACCACCCGGTCTCCAGCTCCGAACTTCAAGGACTGAGTTGGGGATTTTACTGCACAGATATTGCAATATTTATGGGAGATTGCAATAAATAAAATGGAGATACTGCAGATTCAGAGTATGGTCGGATATGCTATAAATTTACTGTAAAACATGTAAAACGGAAATAGGTGGCCAATTTCGGTGAGGTAGGGTAGTTGCTGCTGAGATACCGTAGGGGTAGTAAAACGGCGGGGTCATTGGAAAAGGGGGTGGTGGGGTCCACGAGGGGAAGTGGGGGAGGAGGAAGGGGACGGAGACATTTATCCCGTTGAAGGTACCCCCTGATCAACACAGTAAAGTAGGGGTGGGGTAGGAGTCCCAAATGGTGTTCATGATGGAGAACAATCTAGTCGGCGTAGAAGGGATTGGACACTGAGGGGTGGGGTGGAAAATACTCCAGGAGGGGTAGTCAATCTTTGGAAGTGGAACTGGACTCACTTTGGTGAGCATCATTACGATGCAGAGGGGTGGGGTGGGGTGGGGCAATTCTGGATTTAGCCAGATGTGGGTGGGAAATTGGGGGTAGTCTCTCCGGGTGGGGTTTTACCATGGTGAGGGGTGGGGTAGGGTGATCATTCAGATTATCATTTTTGAAACGTGAGTCTGATTAGGGGGTAGGGGTACCTAAGTCATTCTTAGTACCGGTTGTGGAAATATGTCTGACAAGGTCATTAAACGGGTAGGGGTACTGATGAAGGTGGCGAGAACGTCAAGGGGTCCTGAGATTGCGTGTTTGGTTGCGCATGCAGGAGGGTAGAGACACGATACGAGGCAGGAAGAGGAGGAGATTGCAAAAGCAGCACACAAAGAATGCTGGGCACAGGAGACATTGATGACGAGAGCAGATGGTGGTGTTGATAGAGACGGAACGTGGTTGAGCAGCCGGGATGAGCGAGGGACTCAGTGTTTGAGAGCGGGATGTTTGATGGAAGGGCAAGGGTTGAGATCGAAAGAGCTAAAATCGTCAGGAGATTCGGGTGACAGTGGATTTGAAGATTGGGGTGACTGCAGGATTGACTGATTGATTAGAGCTCGGTTGATCGCTTTTGCACATTCTTGCAGCCAAAGGGGAAAATCGGGTGCTAGTTCAATAGTGAGACAGGGATGGAGGGGAAAAGTATAGGATGTATTACTGCAGTCTATCTCCAACCATTAGGATTGTGCATACCAATGTGTGCACATGACATCTTTTTTTATGTTGATCATGAATGTGAGCGACACGGTCGGTATCTGTTTAGAAAACTAATGGTGTCAGGGAGAGATTCCAAAATTCTCTAGTCCGAGTTTCAAAGAGTGCCTCAGCTAATTCTGACTTGTTTTGGTACAGGCGGCGAAGTGACCTATAACAGGATCGTCTTCCTCGCTCAGCAAACTTGAAAGAATCCTTCCGCCATTCCTTCTCGCTCAGCAAACTTGAAAGAATCCTTCCGCCATTCCTTCTCAGTGAACTCCAGGATGCCTGGAAGTCTATAGGCTTCAATCTCTCGCAAGCTCTCAACTGCAACTTGTGCCATCATTGATATTACCTTCTTCGTCTTTGTACATCAGACAAGCTGCCAGAGATGAAGTCTAACAAGATCATCTTTCTTTCCTTCCTTGTCTGCTGTTTGACTGGAGACATGGGCAAGGCATACGTCTTGAACGCCCCTGGCAAAACTCTTCATACAATCCTCCGACCAAGAGCTGGTTCGAGATCGTGTAAACTAAAGTCTCTCAAAGCATCTGATGGTGAAGGTCTTTCTGCTCAAGAAAAGTTCATGCAACAGTGGAAAGCGAAACAGGCAGAACAGAAGAAGGAAACTGTATCAGCGTCGGGGAAACAGAGTGTAGCTGCCGTCAAAGAGCAACATGAGAAGCGGGTTTCCTCAAAAGTCAGCGGGTGGCGAGCTCGGTTTGTTGACAGTCCGTCACACTTGCTCATGGTAGAAGACTTCCTGGATCAAGCAGAATCGATTGTGAGGACGGCGGGCGGTTGTATGACTTTGGAGGAGTTTGGTAAACGTTTCTTGAAACTTCATGAAGAGTTGCGGATATACAAGCCAGTGCTGGACGAGAAGGCGGAAAATAGACCTGTGATCGACTGGTTCGTCCCCCTCCGTGGATTGGTCGGAGCGATCCCGCAGCCCTTCTACGACTCGGATGGAAACATCGTCCTTATGGGCGAGATCCTGGAAAGCTCGAGGCGGTTTGAGATGAAGAGGGACAAGGGTGGAAACTCGCAGGTCATTGCACTGACAGCCTCCGCCATGCTGAAGGAGAAGAAGAAGATGGGAGGGGAGGCCATGGAGGAGGAAGCGACGAACCTCGAGGGAGTCAGCGGGAAGGAAGGGGCGTTTCAGTCCGTTCTGGACTACGCGGTGGACGAGGTGCTGACGACCCATGGCTACAAGGAGACGGACGACGTCATCCTCTTCGACGGTGTCTGCAACCTCTGCAACGCAGCGGTCAACTTCGTGCTGGACCATGACCAGGACGAGAAGTTCCGCTTCGCTGCACTGCAGAGCGAGACCGGGCATGCGCTCCTCCGGAGGTACGGGAGGGACCCCAACGACATGAGCTCTCTCGTTCTCGTGCAGGTGACTCTCTCCCTCCTCTCCTTGCTCGTCTTCTTCCTTGCGTGTGCGCCTTCACCTTGAACAGCCCATATGCTCTTTCGGAACGTCTCGCTCCCTCCTTGCTCCTCCTCCATCTCCTCCTTGCTACCCCATCTCCCCCCCCATCCCTTCACCTCTTTCTCCTTCTCCTTCATCGTCATCATCACCATCGTCGTCATCATCACCATCGTATTTTGACATTCGGTGCAGCACGAGAAGGTCTACGACAAGTCGGATGCGATGCTTCTCATCGGTCAGGAGCTCAACCTGCCCTGGTTTGTGCTGCTCCTCTCTTTGACCCCTGAAGTTCTGACGAATCAGCAGGAACCTTCCTCAGCTCGCGGTGGTTGCAAGGACAGTGGTGCCCAAGGTGAGTCTGGGAGGAAGAGGAGGAAGAGGAGGAGCTGGGGAGGGGAAGGCAGGGGCGGGGGCAGGAGGAAGAGGAAGAGGAGGAGATGATCCTGACATGCTGGGGCAGCCTTTACGAGACTGGTTTGTGTCGGACATCATCTCCAAGTATCGCTACAAGTTCTTCGGGGCGAGCGACGAGTGCCGGCTGATGGAGGAGGGGCTCGAGAAGCGCTTCCTGACCTGATGTCTCTCCCCGGTCGCTCTCTCTTAGCCGCCTCTTCTATTTTTTCCCCACTTGGCAGCCGAAGAAGACATTTGGCTCCTACTCCTTGTCCTCCAGCCCGGCCCGCGGTCTCCTCCTCCTCCTCCTCCTCCTCCTCCTCCTCCTCCTTTTCCTCCTCCTGTTCCTCTTCTATTCCTCCTCTGGCCTTCAGCCTCGTGTCCGTCGCCATGCCTGCAGCCAAGTCAGCGAGGCCTCTCATTCCCATGCAGCTCTTCCTGCAGGATCGCTCTCCTCCTTCGGTCACGCATGACCATCTTAAATCCTTCCGCGTCTTCGTCCAGCATGTACAGAACCTCTGGCGAGATGTTTTTGCCCTCGCAGCACCGCTGCCTCCTGTCCTCGCACGGCAGGAGGGCAGGAGAGCACCTGGACGTGCTCTTGTCCTCCTCTGTCGGCGCCTGAGCGGAGCTCTCGCCTCCTACATCCTTCGCCTTCTTAGCACGCTGGCTGCGCAACTGCTCTGCCCGCAGCATCGCGATCTTCTTCTTCACTGCAAAGGCCTTCGCCTGGCTGATACCGGGAGCACGCAGCTCGTCCTCTAGCTCCTCCATCCTTCGCTCGATCTCCCCCTTGTCATCAGCACGGGATCGACTTGTCGCCTCTTCCTGCACCTTCACTCCAACTGCAGACTGTAGAGACAGTCAGAACAGCTAAGGATAGCAGCAAATACTTACTCGATACTCTCCCCCTCCTTGTCCATCCCTCCTCACCCTCCCTCTCTCCTCCACCTCTTCCTCCCTCCCTCCTCCCCCTCCTCCCCGCTGCCCCTCCCCAACTCCACTCTCTGGCCATTCTTGGTGCCCAACAATTCCTGAAACATACGTCACAACGTGAGGGACGGGACAACATGCACGACGTGGCTCGAGGCCCTCGGGCTTGTCAGGCCAGCTCGGAGCTCTCACTCCCTCCCCATCAAGCTGATCCATCCAACTGCTGGGGACGTCCTGGGGCCCCTCCAGATCTGCTGGTTCCGGCTGTGTCCTGTAGGACTGCAGCCTCCTGAGCTGGTTGGCGTTGCTACCCAGCACCCCCCTTGCTTCCTCCATCATCCGGATCAGGTTCTTGTCTAGGGTCTTTAGTGCCCTCCTCTCTGAATCCGCGATGACGTCCTGCCTCCTGTTGTCCATCAGTCTCTCCTCCTCCTCCTCCTCCTCTCCCTCGTCTCCACCAAACTCCAACATATTCCAACTCCTTTCCCCATCAACACCATCATCACAACAATTGTCACCATCATCACATAAGACAACGCAGCACCACTAACAACAACCTCTTGGTAACATCGGAATGACCAGCCTTGTCATTGTGCCCGGTCCCGCTGGATTTCTTGTTGGTGGCTGTTGAGTTTGTCGGTTGAGACTGTGCAAAACTCACGCAACGTATTGCTCGTCCACCTCTCCTCCTCCTTCGCGGCTTTCACCTTCGATGCAAGTCTTTCTGCTCTCTTTTGCCGGGCGAGCAAGGTGATGTTCAACTCTGCGATGTCCTCCCGCACAAGAGACCCTCCGGTCACGTGGGAGGACGTCGAACTCGCATCCTCCCCAGTTCCTTGCCCGTCCATGATGCATGCGTGTCGAATCGTATTGAGCGAGTGCCTGCAGGGCGATCAGGAGGAGGGAAAGGAAGAAGCAACGGCTGATGCTGACTCGGTATCCTTGCTTGAGGGAGAGACAGTAGCGATGATGATAGTTGCGTTGCCGTCCATGAAGCAAGTCTTGAGCAAGTGAGTCAGTTTGCTTTTCCTGTATGAGGAAAGTCAGTTGACGAGCGGTGGAGCGATCTGTGTGCGAGTACAAGTGCGATAAGTCAAGAGGAGCTAGAGGTCAAGCACGTTCACTCAGACAACGAAGGAGAGGAAGGGCGGGGGTGGGGCGGAGGAGCAGAAGGAGCAGGGAATGATAGAGGAGGAGGGACCTGAAAGGAATGAAGGACGAGCCCTTGGCATGTGCTCTGATACATTCCTTCAACGCTGAGAGGCTGCTGTTAATCTGCGCACACTCCTTCCTCCTAGCCGCGTCATGCTCTGAGGAATCGATACGATGCTCGCTGCCTGCCAGGTCCACGAGCTGCAGGACTCCCTCAACCTCCTCGTCCACCTTCCGGATGAAGATCCTCACGCAAGCGTGCGAGCGAGAAGACTGACAGCCATGTCACGGCCACATCACCAGCAACTACCCCATCTTCCTGCTACCTTGTCGTGCACCCCTGTGGCTTCGGTTGCCCTCAACGAGCACGCGAATCGAATGTACGAAACAAGTTCATCTGGTCGTTGTCAACATCTCAACGCAGGCGGTAATGACAGATGATGATCACGATCATGATTGAGATTAGAGAGAGGAGGAGGAGAATGAAGTGGATGACTCGAAGGAAGAGGAAACAAAATATACACGAGGGAGGACCAGGAGGACCAGGAGGACCAGGAGGAGGAGTAGAGGATGTCACGAAAACATCCTCATAGTGTATTTCTATAGCGAGATGCGTGGAGGGGTAAAACGATTCACCTGCGCTCTTGACGTCAACTTCCGTTAGTGGATAAGGATGGACGGCTCCATCCTTTCCGGTCAGCAACTGAGTTTGAGCCCCTCGGTTCAACATGTCGCGACAGATGTCGCCTGGTCATCCCGTGCGGCAGGTCAGAAGTCGCAGGTCAAGTGCCGACCGGGAGGCCCGTCACCTTCCAGCTCGACGAAGGAGACGGAGACGTCGAACTTCTTCCCCGAGCTCTCCATGTGGTCAAACAGGTCCCTTCCCGCCATCTCATATATCGACGTCATGGTGTAGGTCTGCGCTTGTATCACACCCGTCCCCAGCACCCCTTTCCTTCCTCCGCGACTACCTTCCCTGAGCCTGTCTGCCCGTACATCAAGATGGTTGTTGTGATAGACTTGCTGCAACACAAGAGAAGTTACAAGGAGCTATGAGGGCTTGCCTCTTGCAGACTCACTGGACTGTGTTGGCGATGGCCTCGGCGGCTGCCCCCTGGTACACCTGACTGTTCTCCGCGCTCTCGTCGAAGACTGCATCGAAGTCGAAGGAGTGGTGGTTGATGAAGAGATGCCTCATGTCTGAGTGTATCTGGTAGACAACCGTCACACTTAGACTCATCCCAAGGGCGGCAGCGATGATACCCTCGCATCATGCACAAAGACGCCGGCCTTCCTGCATGTTATCACGTCGTACTCCCCTGCATTGATCTCGTGCGGAAAGATAGGTCGTTTCCTTACGCAGACGTGTATGCTTCTCTTTGTAGGCGCCCCTTCTTCTCTCACACCTCCAGAACTCGTCTCTCCCTCTTGTCGGAATCTAGAAACATGCAAGGTGAGGAGTTATCAACCAGCAGCCGTGTAGAACCTCTCAATGGCCAGCTTGAAGAAAGCAGCATGTTCTCGGCGAGCTGTCCTCTTGTCGATGTTCTTGATCACGCTGTGCTCGTTCCCCATGTGTACTAAAGATCCTGCCAAGTGTTAACGTTACTTTCAGAAAGCTGAGGTCGAGTGCCAGTCTTGCCGCCTCCTCTCCTCCAGTCCCTCGCTTCATTATCGTTGTCGCATCATCTTTATCGCTCCTTTATCCTGCTCGCAACACTTCCTCCCTCCTGCCTCCTGCCTCCTGCCTCCTCCTCCTCCTTGTCCGACGTTTTTCTCCCGACTCCCGCCATTTCTTCGCACATCCCGCCTCAGCTTTTTGGCAACAAAAGAGATAGATCGTGAAGTCAACAGGTATTTACTCAAAATATATTTTGTACAAATACAAAATTATTTTACAATGACCCTACCCTTTATATATGTGTAATGGTGGGAGATCCATATGTGGGGTACTTAGACTACCCTTGTCGTTGTGTTCGAAAGTACCCTAGAAATGAATCAATCATGCACCGGTGTGTGAAACCTCGATCTCTTAATTGTTCGAGGCAGGGGTGGGGGTACTGTATGCTCGCGTCCTGCAGCCTCCATGCTTGTCTAGCTCATAGCTTCGTCATGCTACTGCTGCGACCCTTGTTCTTCTTCTGCTACCCCATCCCCTCTTCCTCTACCTGTCCCTCTTCCTCTCTCCGACTCCCTTCCTTCCTCTCCCTTCCTTCCTCTCCCTTCCTTCCTCTCCCTACCTCGCCGCCAACTTCCTTCCTCCCCAGCCCGCCCCTCCTCGCCCCCCCCACACTGTCATCGCCCCCGTCGTCCCTTCATTTTCCATCTCTTCCTATCTTTCTGTCACTATCTCCGTATTACCCTCTCCTCCTCGTGCTCCTACCCTCGCTCTCTCGCTCACTCGCTCACTCGTTTCCGGGCTTACCCTCTCATGGCACCTCGGTACCCTCAACCTCTTCTTGACCCTTGTCGTGTTCTTGAGTCCATGACTAACACATTCTGATACTTCACATCTCGTGTTCTTGATTCCATGACTAACACATTCTGATACTTCACATCTCCTTTTTCAACAACTTCAGCATCGTTCATTTCTTCATAGCTCTCTGAAAGAACAAGACCTGTACGAACATATCCAATTTCCTTGTTGTGTTCTTGCAGGATCCTTCTTCATTGCATGTTTGCCTTTCATACTTGCTGCATTGCATCCTGTGAACTCTCACGAATATTATGCTATGAACCTCTCTGATGCTCCAATATTGTCCCACGTATCCATCCTTTGGTGATTTGACGCTGCAGTCCTGATTGCAGATAGAACAGTGTAGAGACTCTCTTTTCAGTTGATATCGCACGTGTCACAGTTCATTGTACTTTGTACTTTGCTTATGTACATTTCGAACATACCTGCATGTGCCAAAATCATCGAAAGTTATTCATCCCTAATTCACTGGCATACAGCATTGTTCATAGGACCACTGATAAAGCGCATGACGTGCATGCTTAGGAAGTGAATGCTTTTTGCAGGCTGCTGAAGCATTTCTGAACCTTGCTGGGGAACGATTCAGACGAACTTTGGGAAATCAGGATTCTTTCATAGTCACTCTATACACCCTTCACGATGAACGTCATGTCAGAAACTTTTCAAGCCTTGAGGACGATGAGAAAGCGCCAGGTGGGCAACACGTCTCTTTGAGGTGCCTTGACGTCACGGCAGCTTGCTCATCAAGTCATCAACTTGGGGCTCATCATCACCTCGGCGCTGATGTGAGTGCACTTGTGCTGGCGGTAGTGAGTTGATGGTTGACCGCATGCTCTGCCTGGCAGGATCTGGAAGTTTCTAATGGTCGTAACGCACAGTGAGAGCCCTGTCGTCGTGGTTCTGAGTGGGAGTATGGAACCGGCTTTTCAGCGCGGCGATATTCTGTTTCTATGGCTGGGGAGCGCACCCTTCAGGATAGGCGAGATCGTTGTGTTCAAGATCGAGGGCCGAGACATTCCGATCGTACATCGCGTGATCAAAGTTCACGAGAAGTAGTTCTGACATGCATAGCACGGCGGTTGCTGATCAGGGTTTGTGCAGGCATGATGGCACCACTGATGTTCTGACCAAGGGAGACAACAATGACGTCGACGACCGTGGACTGTAAGTTCGACGTTCGTGACGCCTCGGCCATAACAGCCATACAGGTATGCCCCAGACCAGCGATGGCTGAACAAGAAGCACATTATCGGCAGGGCTGTCGGGTACCTCCCCTACGTGGGGATGGTGACCATCATCATGAACGATTACCCATACTTGAAATACGCTCTGATCGGATTGCTCGGCATCTTTGTTCTGACAAGTCGCGAATAATGTCGATTCGTGTGTTCTCCACAGTAGTTTCCTTACATTTAGAAAGTATGAAATTGGTTTTTTCTCGGAGATACGGACTGAATTGGTCGAGAGACCGAAGATAAGATGAATAAAAGTCAAACGGTGTGGCTATCTTTCACGGCACAGCATGCCACTATCCTTGTCGTTTCCAATTTGTTGTCCTCGCCTACCAACTAGGATGAGATTCATTCATTCGATGCTTCTCTTTACTCGGAGACTTCCTCCTCCTTTTTCTGATAGAACAAAAACTGTCCGACTGGCGAGTTCAGTACGGCCCCCGCCCTAGGACAATCAGTCAGCTGATGAGGGGAGAGAGATCCAGCGACTAACATCGGCCGCCAGATGGCTTGGACGCTAGGAGCGGAGCAGAAGCGAATCAGGCCAATGAACGCGAGGAGTGCAAAGAGGCAGAGCTGATGCCAACACAAACAAAGTCAAACAACTCGGGAGGTAACTGACGGCAAATGTACCAGCATAACAAGGCACGGGACCCATATGATCGCACTGAGAAATAGGAATGCAATCCACAATGGCGCGGTGAAGAAAGCGACGGTTGCTGCAGACAGAGGCGTTAGCTGGACGGACAGATGCGTTAGGTAATCAAGAACCTATGCAGAGCAGCGCGGGGGGCAAGAGAATAAAAATAATAAGAATGAGAACAGGAGGGATGAAAGGCCTGACGGTCCGCACGTATCCCATCATTGGGTCCACGTACGGGCGCATGCTGCTCTCAACACTCCTTTCAGCTCGCATCACAGCCGAGGAGATGTCTTGCACATGGCGGCTGTGCGGTCACTTGATGTAAGCAACTGAGACAGAGAGGAGAAGAGCTTACTTGCTGCTGACTTTCTTGGGGAAGCTCTGGATCTTATCAACTGCTGTGTTGACAGCCCTCGCTGTCGTTCCTCCCACCTTCGCAGCAAGGCGGAAGGGTGCACGTAGCTGCTTGTCTGGACCTGCTGGGGGAGTGTCGGAGGTATGCTGAAAAATCACTGTCAGTTGTTGCTGGACAAACGAAGCCTTGAGCTGACCGCGCTCGGCATAATTTGAAGGATATCCACTTCTCCTGCAAATGGGAACACATCATGCCTCTTCAGAAACAATTTGAATCCATCTCATCGCACATCGTGCTATCGAGATGGACTGGTTCGTGTCACGCACTTGATTGGCTATGTTATGCTCGCATGAAATCCAGCGAGCATCTCCCCATATTGTTTTAGGCACTGGAAAAGAGTCCCATGAAATTCTCTTATGCCTCCAGGGGCAAATGACAACCGAACCCTTATATGAAACGCCTCTGATATCCTCAAGACGAATCAACTATCGACTGCTACCCTTCACGAAATCGGTGGTCAATGCCTGATGATCAGTGAAAAGCTGTTCTAGTCTGTATATCATGTTCAAAATTGCCCTCTGCCCCTTCCTCCTCTAACTCGCCCTTCCCCCTCGCCCTCCTTCCATCCTCCTTCTCGAGCGCTCCTCGAGCATTCAAACAGGCACCCACATGACGTTATAGGGGTCATTAGCCCCCCGAATATTTGGGAAGGCGAGGGGTGGGTGGTCTTCTTGTGACTCACTGAGGCGGAGACCGGTCGGACTTAACTTTGAGTAAAAAGTCGGACCCGGGCCTGGCAGTTTAACTTGCGGCCAGCGGAGGCTAGCCGGCAGCGCGGCCGCTCCCGAGTCCCGGCCCGGGAGTCCGACGGTCCCGGAGTCCGGAGTCCGGCCCGGCCTCCGAGGCTCGGCCCCGGCGCCGGCCCCAAGCCGCATGAGCCCGAGATGTCGCCGAGGGCGATTCTTGCCGCTGTGCCATGGCCAGGATGATTGACTCGCCGAGCAGCTATCGAGGTTGGAGGGTATTTATGCCAGAGAGTCTGGCTCACCCGGGCGGCCGGCCCAAGGTCACTGCTGCCACGGCCGTGGCACTGCCACTGAGCCCGGGGTCCGGGCCCAGCCCGGGCCTCGGCCGCTTCAGTCACAGGCTGGCTGAGTGCGGAGACCTGCCGCGGAGTGTGCCGGCCGCGTATGATACTCAGCCCAGCGGAGGCAGTCCGAGTTCCCGGCGAAGTTCAGGCTTTTGAGCGGGAGCCAACCCCCCGGCGGGCCGGTTGAAGCTGATAGCTGACCCCGCTGCTAGTACGGAAACTTCGGCCCCGAGACCGTCTCAGCGGCATCAATCCGATCACCGGCCCCGCGGGGGAACGGCCGGCCCCCGGGCCCGACGCCCCCGGGCCAACTCGGCCCAGTGATCGGGTTTTAAAAATATATTAAAATCATGTTTGCTAAGAACTTCCCGTCATCCGTCCCCCACTCCTTGCACTTCCTCCTTCGCCTGCCTGCACCACACCCCCAGACCTAACAGACAACCCCCCCCCCCCTCCCGTCAGCCTCTTACTTGACATCTCCCTCCTCCCCCCCCGGAATCCTCCACGGATCCCGACCCAACCTCTGATATTCGCTCTCCCTTCGATCGGACTTGGCAGGAATGCTGCAGTGAGGTTTTCGTCGGGCAACCTTGGACTCTGGTATGGCCCACAAGTCTTCGATCGAGAGGCAGCTGGATGAGGCTCAGCGATTTCTAGCCAAGCACAGAGGAGTATAGCTCTGTCTCGAGCGATCTTCCGTTCTTTGACAGGGCATGTTGCAGGACACAAACGTACAGCAGTTTGCTCCTTCCAGGTCCTCCGATGCCCATCACGGCAACGACTTGTCAGGTCAGCAGATTCTTGAACGCTCTCCACATTCCTGACGGGGATTTCAGATCGTGACTCCAAGAGGAGGGAGTACGATCGATTTCATGCCGAAGTCTTGACGCAGTTAATGTCGAATCTGTCCAAACACCAGTCGGATAACAAAGTGAGTCCTGAGCTCGTCCAGATGGCTTGAGGCTCTATCATGACCTTGGGTTCTGTTTCTCAGCAGGTTCAGAGCGCAAGGGGCAGCGGCTTGAAGTCAGCGCCCACAAGATTCAAGACGCATGAAGAATACGTGGAGACGTTCCGGCCCCTTGTCATGGAGGTTGGGCGAGCCGCCGGCAATGCGATCGTTGATCCACGTTTTCTTGCTACCAGGAGATAGGATCCGAGATCGAGCAGAGTCTCAAGGAGAAGCTATACGACAGCCATCCTGCGGAACTGGTCTTGTACTTATGTTTGCCCTTGTTCGCCTCACGGGGTTTTGACTGTAGAGGGACTTGCAAAAAGGAGGCGTGTATAGCGACTTCATGTTTCTTACTCTCAATGTCAAGTCGTCCGACAACAACGAGGAAGACAGGAATCGCCGTGACGGGCCGGGAACATACATGTTCGAAAACCATGATTTTGCCTTGATTGAGGTGCAATCCCTGCTCTTTTAGCTCTCAGCGTTCATAACCTGCCAACACACCACAGGTGTGCAAGATGGTATGGATAAAGGGCCTTGCTTCTTCGCCGAAAAAGTCTGCGATGAAAGGTGGTCAACGATCCACCGCTGCTCTGCTCGCTAGCAACCTGCTGTTGACAGTTTCCATCCTTCAGATCCCTCGGGAAAGTCTCCAGTCAAGAAAGAGAGCGGCAAGTGGGTCAAGTCAGGAGAGCCCCGGAAGTTCTATGCGATCGTCGCCGGGAACTTTCATGCGCATTACTCCCAAAAGTTCCTGTGCTCCGTGCGAGTGAAGACGCTCAAGTCTGTGGACCTTGAGTTCGCCACCAACATCTCGAAGTCTAAGGTAGCTGCCGATGACGCCTGCGATGTTTTCAGTCTCACTTGCCGTCAGAGTGAAATCCGCTACCAATGGAGCATACAGAGGTTGCGGAACATGGGTGCGAGTATAAGAGAATGGCGCGCTGTCCATGAAATCAAGAACAGCCCGCTCCTGCATGAAATCCTCAACCCCAACAAGTTCACGAGCCTGCCCAACGACGACGAAGTGGCCAAGATCATGGGGCATCTCAACCCAGTCGTACAGACCCACATCGCCTCTCGCAGCAACAAGTCTCAGCTGGTTGCTATAGCGGCAGCCTGCGACCCGGCACATCGGACGGGGGTCACCCTCCTGCAGGGCCCCCCGGGGACGGGCAAGACTACTGTCATCCTGTCCATCCTGAACTTCCTTCATCTCACTCAGTATCAACAATATTACGAGAGCGTGTTGAAAGTTGTCCGCAGCAAGCTGTCAGTGCAGGCTGGGACGGCAGCCAAGACCCCGGAGCCTGTGAATATCGATTCTGGGAAGTATCACTCCGGAGCCCTCGAGAGCATCCTCCATGACATTCAGAAGACTCCATCAGGTGAAGGACGCAACTCCGGCTGATTTCTTCTCTCCCTTGCTCCATCTCTTACCTCTCTTGTCATCTTGAGAACCCGACGATGTACCTTCACCTTCCCGTTACCCTCCAACTGCACTTCGTTGGAGGTAACGCTGGCACTTGCAGATCATACTCCCAAGGTCCTCCCGAAGCCTCGCATTCTCATCTGCGCTCCCTCCAACGCGGCAGTCGACCACATCGTCGAGGTCTATCACCTTTCGGTTGCGCGTCCTGACGGCATGCCAGCGTGTCCTCTCGGAGCGCCTGAGGGACGGCAACGGCCTCTACACACCCGACATGATCCGCATCGGATCCCCGAAGTAACATGCCTCATGTGCTGACACGGGGAGGGGCGGAGGAGCTGAGATGTTTGCAAACAGTGCTTGTCATCACAAGATCAGAGTCGTCACCCTCGACCATCAGGTGGAGGGAGGGCGCGAGGGAGGGGAAGAAGAATGACATGACGGCAGGTCCAAGAGATCATGAGCAGAGGGGGTGAGCTGGAAGACTGCAAGCATCGGTAATAACAGCGGTGGATGCGGTTGCAGGATGTGATGATTGAGTGTAGGTACCGTTCACTTCTCACTCGTCGGAGCTATCTCGAGGTGAAGTACAGCTCCTCCTCCAAGACCGCCGCAGCCATGAGCGGGCGCCGTGAGGTTGACTGTCGTATCAGGCCGAGTGCAAAGGAGTAGGAGCAACCAACTCGCTCGAAGTGGAGATGCTGAAGGTGCAACGGTGGTCCCTCATTCCCGCTCAGCGCAGCGAGCAGGTCAGGACTCAACTGGAGGAGGTCGAGCGAGACATCAAGCGGCTGGAGGTCGTGAAGAAGGTAAGTCAGTATGCTGCCTTGACAAGACCCCTCTCGTTAAAGTGCTGCCGCCAGATCAAGTCGAGCAAGGAAGAAGACACAGATCAGTTGAGAACCATGCTGCTCGACGACGCTCAGGTCCCTCTTGCTCATCCCCTTCTTCCCCCATCCTCCTCCTTACCTTGACGCAGGTCATTCTCACCACCTTGAGCTCTGCTGGGCTGGATTGTTTCTCTCGTTTGCAGAACAAGATTGACACAGGTAGCTGACGTCTTCTGACCTGCTCTTAGTCTTCCACTCCTTGTTCTCGTGCTCTTGCTCATGTGATCTCTCACCTGGATCCTTTTCTTCATCTGAGCTAGCATGCCTTGGCTGCTCCTGTACACACGTTTTGCTCTACATCTGACCCTTTTTCCTCTCCTCTCCTCTGCTCCCCTCCCCTCTCCTCTCCTCTCAGTGATCATCGACGAGGCCTGTCAGTCTGTAGAGGCTGGTACTCTCATCCCCCTCCTGCTGGGAGCTCGGTGGGACCTCTGAGAGCTGCCGCTCGAGCTCTTACCTTCTCCTCCTCGCAGCCGCTGCATCCTTGTGGGAGACCCTCGACAGCTTCCCGCTACTGTCATCTCTCAATCTTCATCTGCAGGTGCTGCTGCTACTGCGCTTGCTCCCTCTTCTGCTGCCACTGCTCCTGCTCCTGCTCCTGCTCCTGCTCCTGCTCCTGCTCCTGCTCCTGCTCCTGCTCCTGCTCCTGCTCCTGCTCCTGCTACTCATTCCCTTGCTGCTGATGCTCTTTCTCCTGCTGTTGCTTCTGTGTTGATAGTCCAGCAGCCATCTACCAGCGCTCGCTCTTCGAGAGGCTGATGAGCTGTAATCACCCCGTCGCCCTCCTCAACGTGCAGTACCGCATGCATCCAGGTCGAGGAGAGCGATCGGTAGACTTGCCGTCTAATGCATTCGAGCAGAAATCACAAGATTTCCATCCGAGTACTTCTACGAGGGGCGACTAGTGGATGCAGAGGTTGGGGGGGGACGAGCAGGAAGGGAGAGGAGTAGGAGCAGGAGCAGGAGCAGGAGCAGGACCAGAAGGAGGAGTAGGATTGAAGGAGGAGCAGGAGCAGGAGGAAGCGAGCGGAGAAGGTTTGAAGGAGGAGGATTGAAGGAGGAGGAGGATGAGGACGTGGAAAGGTCAAGGGCGAGGAGGAGGTAGTGGACCAGTTTGGAACGAGGACTGACTTTCACTTTAGAACCTTGGGAGAAGGAAGGAGGGTGAGAGGTATCAAGCTGATCCTTGGTTTGGCCCCTTCCACTTCTTCGACCTCATCGACTCGAAGGAGCAGAGATCCGATGGTTCTTCTTTGAGGAACGTGGCTGAAGCAAAGGTGAAGCTGTTTGCATGCAAGAGTACGTGGGTTGTCTTCTATTTCTTGTTTGTGTCTGGTTGTACCTGTTTGTGTATTTCTGGAGTCGACACCCTGGGTCTTGAAGTTGGTTTGGATGGCTGAGATGAAAGTTGAAATGTTGGTGATGTTGAAGAAGGAAACTATTATTGGTCTCCTCTTCTTTGATCTTCTGACCTGATGGACAAGAATGATTGTGATGCTCACAAAGATGTTGAATGCAAAGGTTTTCTCCACTTGCTATCGTGACTGACACGGACGACAGTTTGTTGCATTGTTGGTGAAGGAGCTCATCTCAAGATACTCCCAGGTAATTTGACATGTAGAGCTACAGGACATGGAATCAGAGCTTGATGTCTGTTGAACATGTTTTCACTCATTTCTGTCCTCTCCTTGATCAGCGCGGAGAGCTGAAAGGCAAGATCGCCATCCTAACTCCGTACCGGCAACAGAGGAACGAGATCACCTCAAGCTTGAAGAGGCTAGTTGGTCTGCTGAGCGCTCCTCCCCTCGCTCCCCTCCTGATGTGTCTCCAGGTCCTCATGCTGTCTCGGAGTCGGTTGAGAATCGCAGCCCTGAAGTTGTGACTGAGCTTGTGCGCTGTCTTAGCCTGTACTGAGAGAGAGCTACCAGGCGCGAGGATACAGCATCGATGTGATGACGGTTGACTCTTGTCAAGTGAGTAGCCAGTCCTTCTGTCGCCTGCCCCTTCCCATGACCAATCTCTTGCTCCTGCTCCTGCACCTCCTCCTCCTCCTCCTCCTCCTCCTCCTCCTCCTCCTCCTCCTCCTCCTCCTCCTCCTCCTTCTCCTTACTTCATTCTCACGCTCTTGTTAGGGTCAAGAGAGAGACATTGTCATTTTCTCTTGTGTGCGAGCCAACACCAGGTGACCGTCCTCTTAATCTCATCCTGCACCTGTTGCTCCTCCTCCTCCTACTACTACTCCTACTCCTACTCCTACTCCTGCTCCTACTCCTGCTCCTGCTCCTGCTCCTCCTGCTCCTGCTCCTCCTGCTCCTGCTCCTCCTGACTCAACTCACACATCTCCTCATTCTCCTCACTCACTCGCACCTTGTCTCCTCCTTATCAGGGGCGTCGGTTTCCTTGAAGATGTTCGTCGCATGAATGTGGCTCTGACCAGAGGTAAATCTCAACTCAACAACCCTTCTGCTCATCCTCCCCTCTCCTTCTTTCTTTCTCTCTCTCTCTCTCTCTCGCTCTCCCTCGCTCGCTCCCCTTCCACCATCTTCCTCTCTCTCCTACCCTCTCCTCCACAGTTTTCCTTTACTTTTCACCCTCATTCCTGTCCTCGGAGCGTCTCCATCCATATCCCGATTCCTTTTTCCTTCCCTCCCTTCTTTCGTCGCCGAGAACCCTTCTCTACGATACTTCTCCCTCTTCTCTCCTTCCATTTACCTCAAAGATTCTCGTGTGGATCCGCTCTCTCCAAATCCGCCTCATTTTCTTCTGCTTTGTTTTCTCCTCTCACTCCCAACTACAGCCCGTCACTCTCTACTCGTCATCGGCAACTCGAACTCGCTCAAGGTGAGAGCACGAGCACGAGCACGAGCAGGGGGAGGGGGAGGCTAGAGGGTGGAGTTGATCTCCTTCTACCTCAGGCGTCTGAGCCTTGGAAAGCGTTTCTTGCAAACGCCAAGAAGAGGGAGCGGGTGACAGTCATTGAGTCCAAGAAGATGCCGCCGGACTTCACCGCCGGGCCCCCGGAGCCGGGCAGCAAGTACCTCAACGACCATGACGACGAAGACATCGTACCATGTGAGACTGAAGAGTGTGGGAGGTCAGAGGAGGCTGACAGGGAGAAAGATCAAGCGATGAACGAGCAGAGAAACGCTCTCAAGCTCGCCGAGGAGGAGCAAAGAAGGAAGAGGAAGGCGGAGTCTGACACACAAGGCAGCAAGAGGAGACATGTAGAAAAGGTCTCCTTCTTCCTCTTGTTCCCTCCCTGCAGCAGTACCTCTCTCTCTCTCTCTCTCTACCTCTCTCTCTCTCTCTCTCTCTCTCTCTCTCTCTTTCCCTCCTCTTCCCTCTCTGAGCCCTCCCTCCTACTCTCTTCCCTCTCTCTCCCTCTTACTCTCTTCTGCTCCCTCTCTGTTTTCCTCCCTCGTCTCTTCTCTCTTCGCTCCCTCTCCTTCGTTTTCGTTCCTTTGGTCCCCTCATTCACTTCCCAACTTCCTCCTTCCTCACCTTTGCTATACAGAAACTGGACGATGACGTCATCATCATCGACGGTGACGAGCCACCAAACAGAGTAAAACTTCTCATCCTTCCTGAGCCCTCCGCTCACTCTGTTCTCAGCCTGCTGCCAACTCCTCCGCATCGTCCAGGTCCTCTCTCCTCTTTTCTCTCTCCTCTCCTCCTAATTTCCCTCCTCCCTCCTCCCTCCTCCCTCCTCCCCCCTCACCTTGTCCTCCTCTCGTCTCCATCTTTCCTCCTCTCTGCTCTCTCCTCCCCCTCCCCGCTTCCAGCTCCCCCACTCTCCTCTCTTCTTCCTCTTCTCTCCTCTCTCCTACCTACCTCGACACTCACTGTCTAGTGTCCCATCAGCCAAGCTGCTCAGAGCTCGTCCTCCTCTCAGCCTGGTCGAGGGCTGCCGGCCAAGGCGGTGCAGGAGATCGTGAAAAGGAGCGGAGGAGTGCTCTCCTGCGATCAGTTACTCAAATGCGAGACTTGCAAAGAAAACTTCCTCTTCACAGTACGGCTTCCTCCTGCCTCCTGCCTCCTGCCTCCTGCCTCCTGCCTCCTGCCCATTGACTACGATCGCTCTCCGCTCTTGTTACTGATCACTCTCCTCTCGTTCTCTCTCCCTCTGTCTCTCCTGCCCCTCCCTCCCTCCCTCCCTCCACTCTCCCTCTCCTTCTCG